AATATTCCAATTGCTTAGAATATTCCTGGCTCTCATGTTGGAACTAAAGTCGCTCTACCGTAAAGTGGAGGAGCGAAAACTCAAACTGAATAGAAGAGGTCAGGGAAGGAAAAGCAGATACAACCGCATGGAAGCAAATTGGAACTAGGCCTTCATCAGGCTCGAAAGCATTAGGAATGTCATCCACAAATTATGACCATCATTCTAAACTGGTCCTCAAACTTTTAGATTTTCTAATTTCATTCCCAAATTCATCCAAACATGTAATTAATTTTAACCATAATTTAACCTATTTTTTCAAATATGAAATTAATTTTATTAGCATGGGATGTGATTAACGTATACCAATAATGATATTGAATATTTAAAGGTTGGGGACCAATTTAGAATGAGGTTATAGTTTGAAAATGAAATTGGAATATTCAAAATTTTAAGGACTAATTTAAAATGATAGTCATAGTTTAGGGATGGAATTAAAATATTTAAAAATTTGGAAATCAATTTAAAATAAAGGTTATAATTTGAGGATGTGTAATACAATTAAATTTTTTAAATGCACGAACCAAACGACCTCAGTTGTAATAGGTGTAAGCGTTCATTGTCAAATGATTGAGACTTTTTGAACATATATTATCTTATATTCACCCTATCAAATAAATAATATACTTGAAATTTATTTATATAGAAAGGAAATTTTAATATTTTTATATAAAAATATATTTTTTAAAATGCCCCAAAATCAATGACACGAATAAAAATCACTAGCTGAGAAGATATAGACTCACATCCAATAAAAATCAATGACACAAATCAAGTGACCTCAGTAGTTAAAAGGATCCTTGTCACTCATAGAGGTCTTAGGTTCGAACATGATATCTACACTAGTTAAAATATCAAGTATTTTACAATTAAGATACTCGATTAATTGATTGTTACAATTAAGTCATCCAATTAATTGATTGTTACAACCAAATCATGTATTACCATATTGACTATCATTGGTTGTCGTATACATGATGATTGATGAACTCCAAATTTCTCCATAGGATTCACCTCAATCTTCTCGTTCAATTAATCAGATTAGATTCTCGAGAATCTCATAAAAGTCATTAAATCTCCCTAAAAGTTTCAAACTTCTCGAATCTCAATATACACCGTCCACCTGCATACGACCTTCGTCATCCAAAAGTACCAAAATAAAAATTAAAAAAAAAGTAAAATTTTGATAATTACATAAAAGGTAACTAATTTTAAAAATATATATATCCTAAAATATTGAAAATGTCTGGATAGAATTGACCCTAACTAATGCTTCTTCCCCGGTCTGCCCATCATAAAATTGAAAAACTTTTCCATCCTTTATGGTTGTGACCCGGCCTCTGTCTCTTCGTAAACATTACGTTTTCGCTTTATAAGGGGACCATTAGCTATTGATCCACTTACAGCGGAGTCTTCATTGGTATCTTCCAAATCTTTCTCATACAGTATTCGAATCCCACATTTCTTCACCTTAACACTTGGGTGACAGTCATCGGATTTGACTGATAACTGAAGTTCACCGAATTCTTTATTTGACCAATCCGATGATGAATTCTCGGTTTCACTTTCACCACATTTATCCTCCAAGGAAAATGAATATAATTTCTCACGCGAAAAATAACAGAAATAATTGTGATCCTTTATTATGGGCTGGTTGAATTCTTCAGAAAAAATCCAGCCGCGCCCTGTGACACGTCGAGGATTTCTACTTCGACAAACAGACCCGTCAGAACCATCTTTTCTGGAATTCCTATGATGGATAACAGCTTCACATGTGAGTTCCTCATTCCTTGAAGCATCATCGTTGACAAAAATGCAGCAGAAAGCAACTCCGATCCATTGACTATCATTCTGAATATTGTTAGGCAGTGGTATCTTGATTGAAGAGTCAACTGTTTGATGGCTAAACCATTTTGGTATTTCACCTCCAGGTATATTAGCATCAAAACTTTTTTTTAAATATGTAACTCGCTGCAAAATAAAACTTATGTTGCTTGGTAACTAAGTATATAATTCTTTAAAAACTAGATTCTGTAAATACGAAAGAATGATAAATCGACCTTAAGACAGGTTTTCAGTATTGTTAATGCATTGATATTCTCAACCAATCTGTAGCAGTGAAGGCCAGAAAACTGTGTCCAATCATTTGATGGAGCTGCAAATAGTTCTGGAGAAGCACCAGGTTTAGCTAACGATATAAGCTCCCTGCAATTTGACAATCCAAGATATTGAAGCCTGGGAAGTCCACTACCAATCACAGGTACGCTGATGAAACTGTTTCCGCCAAGCTCAAGTTTTTCCAGACAGGATAAACAAGAAATATCACTAGGAATATCTCCTTCATGTAAATTGCAGTTCCTTAGTTTCAGCTCTCTTAATGATCTCAAACCTGACAATGAATGTAACATCAGAGGCATAGACTCGATCCGTCCTCTTTGGAATACCTGGAAAAGAGAAGTTAGATTTGGTCCTAACTTAGATGATGGCCCCTTGAGCCTATTCAAAGACAAAACTTTAAGATTTTTAAGTTGAAAAATGAAGGATGGTAATTTTGCTATGGCTGTTTCACTTAAGTCGAGCTCTTCCAACAACTCTACTTGCTGCAAATTCTCTGGTAAATTTTCAACTTTATAACAGCCAGAAAGATTGAGAGTTTTTAGACATTTACACCCACCTATGCTCCTTGGGAGACTAATAAGGTTTGTACAATCTTTTAGGATTAATGTTTCAAGAGATTCTATTCCAATTTTGGCTGGAAGATTCCTAAGACTTGTACAGCTACTTAAATTCAGAAGTTTAAGCCTCGAAAGAACTCCGATGGACGGATGAACATTTACTATTCTTGTACAACCCTCCAATACTAAAGTTTCCAGATTTGGGGCTGATGTAAAGTCCGGTGACTTGATCAGGTTTTTGGACCCTTTGAGGTTGAGCACTTTCAACTTATACAGGGGCTGCTGAAAATAATAATAAATTAGAGAAGATTTAGTTAATATTCCTAAAATAAGTTAGAAAACAAGGGTCGCATGAATTAGTTCTTACTGTATTTCCCTTTCATAGTTGTTCAATGCGACTGTATGGTAGCAGAAGTGCAACCAGGTTGTCTGGTTGGAAGCTTGGAGGTAAGAATCTTAAAGGATATCCCATCCAATCTAACAGCCGTAACGCATTAGGAAGATATTTGAGTTCATCACAATTTGAGAGGCAAAGGACTTTGAGCAATCTCAATTTTTTCATCTTAGAGACAACATTAACATTCAAATTGAGCATCTTGTTGGATATCCTGATAACCAAGGGTAAAACAACGAAAACTCAGTTCAAATTTGAAAATATCCCAAAGCATTCCATACCTAAAAGCAAGGCTGCTCCAAAACTTAATTTATCTATGCTCCGTCAAGCACTCGTATCCCACACATCCGAATAGAAACATACAGATAATTCTTCAAGGATTTTCAAAAAAATTAAAAGTACAGTGAGTAAAATAAGAAAGAGAGTATAACTCAACGAGGAACGGAGTGATAGAATAAAACCTTAAGGGTCACTTTTGACCGAATATGAAATTTACAGATGGGTGCATGTTTATGTATGTTTCGCTACCTTTTATTGTCAATGATCATGCCTTCAATCGCTTCCGTAGCCTAAAAACATTCAAAAGTAAGACATAAGAAACACAAAATAGAATGAGGAAATTTCTGTGATAGAACTTGTGAAAAATTACATTGTGTGTATCATTGATGCTTTAACGTTAATATAATATGCAATTTCCTTGGAATGACTCACAGTGTTCTTCGTTAGCACATGATATACATCATTTTCCTCCCACAATCTACAACGTTTTCCAGGCTCCTCAATAGATTTTTCCCGAACAATTCTTCTTCCCATTTCTTGTAGTAAGTTATGCATCCACAATTTGTTGTTTTCGTCAACTGTTAGTAGAGACTTCTTAATGAGAACATCGATTCCGATATCCGGGAAAAACTCACAGCCATCCAATACTTTCATTACAAAATCTTTCTTGTCCCCATTGAAGAAGCAAGCTATATCTAGAAATATTTTCTTCTCCGTTTCTTCCAATCCATCAAAGCTAATTCGAAGTCTTTCAATAATCTCTTTGTTAGAATCCTTTTCAAGTCTTTGGATTGCACATCTCCATTGAGCTACATCTCTACCGCACAAAAAACAACCCAAGACTTCAAGAGCTAAGGGGAGACCACTGGCATATTTTGCAACATGTTCAGAAAGCTCAATGAAATCATCATTTGGTGCTGTCTCACTATCAAAAGCTTTCAAACTGAAAAGTTGAAGTGCCTCGCTGTCATTCAATGTTGAAGGCTTATACACATCATCAACTCGGTAAGATTGGAGCAAGTGTTCATCTCTTGTTGTTATAATGATTCTACTCCCTAAACCGAACCAATCATGCCTTCCAACCAAGCATTTCAAGTGCTGTAAATTATCCACATCATCAATCACAACAAGGACCTTTTTGTTAGATAATCTGCGGCTAATTATGGCATTCCCTTCATGAACATTGAAAAATTCGAAGACTTCACCAGACAAGATCTGGAAAAGAAGTTGTTTTTGTAGAGAAACGAGTCCAAATTTGTCTGAAACTTCTCTAACGTCAGCAATGAAGCACTTACCTTCAAAATGAGATGACATTTGGTCGTAAACAACTCTTGCGAGAGTTGTTTTACCGATGCCACCCATTCCGCAAATTCCTACGATGCGGATGTCATCTTCCCCAATCTCTATTTTGGAATGCAACTCCTCCAAGCGTGAACTAATTCCAACCAACTCATCATGAACAATTGGATATGTCTGACATAATTTTGCTGATATTTTTCTAACAATATCTCCGATAAACTCTGATTCATGCCTACAAAGAAATAAAATTCAGTTCATTTTTATAATTATTAAATTAATTAAACAAGAAAACAAGAAAGAAAAGAATGATTTACCTGTTATTTAAATGCCATCCTTTGATGTTAGCCACTTGAGTCAAAGCATTTCGCCACCTTAGAATCTTTTCTTTATCTTCCTTGTATCTCTCTGCATGTTTGGCAAATGCTTCTTCAACTTTTTCTCTCTGTTTTCTTAAATCAGATGGATTCACGTCGTAGAAAATTGGAAACACTTTATGTCCTTTCTCGTTTTTTTGTTTAACAATCTCAGCAAGCTCCTCTAAGCACCAACTTGAAAAGGCATAGGTTCCTGAAAAAACAATTACAGAGCACCACGATTGTTGAATGGCTCGGAAGAGTTGTGGTCCGATCTCTTCACCGGCATCCATCTTTGGATCATCCCTGAAAGTGATAATTCCACTTCGATTTAGAGCATCATAGAGATGATCTGTGAAGTTTTTGCGGGTATCTTCACCTCTAAAACTCAAGAAAACATCGTATTTCTTTCTAGAAATACATGATAAAGTTGAAGGTAACAATGACATGATGAATTATGAGAAGGAAAATTTTGGGTTATAGATTTGAGATTGATTTGTATTTGAGAAGGCTTTGTTCATCAACAAGAAATAATAGTTCTCAAACTCTGATATTATCCTATTCTATCTCCCGTCAATTGGTCCAAGTTTTCTTTCGAAGTCATATGGCTACTGGCTATGATTTGCATTTTCCACGCTTTAGTTCAATGCGTATACTCGGGGCTAGCTTCTATGGTTGATATTTTTTCCCCATAACCGAGTCATGTCATACTTGCTACACTTCCCACCACTTTCTACGTTTCACATCAATCAATCTATAAATATTAAGAGAACATTAATTTCTTGTATAAGAAAAATGATAGAGGGAGACTTATCAACTAAACATTAATTATGAGGTCCCACATTTGACAAGCATTGCTTCAATTATGAGAATCAAATCAAAGTTAAGAGTTACCCAGTCATTTCTTTATGGGGAAGAAGGTAAACTTTGATTTCCAAAGTCATCTGAGTAATTGGAGCCAGAGGAATGGATAATAACTTTACAAGACTAAGGAAGTAACTTCAGTTCAAGCCATGATCAACCAGTACCTACAGCTGAAAAAACATAATTAAAACCTTCAAAATGGTTGAAATTAAAATCAAATTTGCAATTAAATTTCGAAGCTACTTCACAACTCACTGTGTAGAAATCATAAAAGAAAGATGCCCAGCATCTACCGTGGTTTCCCTAATAATACAATGATGGTGAATTACAAAACAGCAAAAGCAAAGCAAATCTAATTAGCTTCACCTTTGATATCAGATTAATGATTCAATTTGTGGTTCTTCCCGGAATTGTAGTATTGTAGATTTAAAAACAATAATGTATTGCCATACTCACTGCCATCGTCTTCTACTTTGCTCCGGTCAAAGAAAATGTCACCACCATCAGCATCCTCCTCCTAGGGAAACATGAACTTATGATCGCATTGGGGCCATTGAATACACATTTGAGAAAATTAGAAATGATTCTAATGATTTGATTTTAATTGAATTTATATTTTTCTTTGAATTATGATTGAATATATTTGGCAAAAATTATTGGATCAGAAAAAATATCATTGAAATATCATGTTCGTGAAACATAGTAAAAGAAAGCCTACCAAGTTTTGATCCTTTCATTGACTGCATTGCCCGCTTGGCATCATCGGGACATTCGAAGTTCACAAAGCCGAAACCTCTCGAGGCACCATTTTCATCCCTTGCTACAGCCAGGGAGGCAATTTTCCCTTGTAAAATATACAGATTTGTATATTTAACATCAGGACTTGGCAAAATCCTGTCACACGTTTTCATAAATTTCCCAACAAATCTGGGACCAAAGAGACAAATTAAACTTCTGATTCATTAGCAGATAAGTGAAACGAAAAATATTTTAAAGGAAAATTCATATTACACTTGTTTATCACCAATCATGTTGTTATCAAGCTTCTTAATAGCAGCAGTTGCAGATTCTTCAGTTTCAAATTGAACAAATCTATAACATTTGCTTTTCCCATCCTCAAATGTTGTAGCTTTGCAGGATATTACATTCCCAAACCTCTGAAACAACTCTTGCAACCCCACACTATCGATTGATTCACTTAGATTCTGAAAAGAAAAGTACAATAAATCCAATGGATTTCAGATTATATCAGTTAAAAGAACAAAAAGGGTTTGTTTTGTACCTTGACAAACACGTTTCCAACTCCACTCTTTCTTGCATCAGGATCTCGAAGTGACCATGCCACCCTAATCATTTTCCCATGAATCGAACTGTGATTCATCTTCTCCATTGCATAATGTGCTGGTCATATCATAGCAGAGAAACATGAACATACATAAAAGTTAACTCAAAAAGACTGAATTTTCTTAAATTAATTTTGTCGAACACTCTCAGAACATATTGAAAGATCAAACACGAAACATAAATCAAACAAAAAGCAGTGAATATATTGAAAAAATTATTAAAAAAAAATCAAATCTTACGCACCATTGATGCAGGGGGATCCGAGACAGATGATGTTGAGCTGTCAGATTGCACCTTGATGGCGCTGAGATACCATGTGGCCTTTTTTCAACCTCAAATTCTGCCGTCTTCCCCTCCGAATCACTAGAATTAGATATTTTTTACTATTTATGGTAATATTTCGATTGTCAATTAGGAAGTCAACTTAAATCCGATTTAGGCCGGATTTTTTGGAGATTGCTTATTTTATTTCGAATTTCAATTTAGAGTGATTTTCGGGATTTTGCTATTTTTGGCAAAATTCGAATAAAGACGATTTTTGGCTATAATAGTCCGGCTTGTGGACCGATTTTGGAATTGTTTGATTTGATAATATTTTATTCAACCCTAGAGACTTTTTTTCTCTGGATTTTTTTGGGCGAATTTCCTCTTGTGAATCATCTGTTGGAGCGCTTGCAGGATAATCACTATTATGTCTGGCGTCAGTTGGTATAAGAGCTTCAACATCTTCCTAGGAAATTTCACCAGTTTCAATGGCTGGAGGTCGTGGTCGTGGTCGTCATGAGCAGGTTCCGAATGAGGAAGCCCAACGCCGTGATCGCAACGTTCAGGATGTGATGATTGCGGATTTACAGAGGCAAGTCGCAGAATTAACCCAGCGCCTGGCAGCGTAGGATTTCGAGGATCGTGAGGCCTCTGATCACGATATCAATTCCGCTTTCGAAAACCCATATCACAATCGTGCTCTATTCCGGGAACACCGTGGTCGGGAAGAGCGTCATGGAGACCTCGGTTTTCAGGTCGATCTCCCTGAGTTTTCTGGTACGTTACAGGCTGAGGGATTCATGGATTGGATTAATGAAGTAGAGCGTATTTTTGAATATAAGGAAGTCCCTGATCGTGTGAAAGTGAAACTGATCGCCATCAAACTCAAGGGCAGAGCATCTGCGTGGTGGGAACAGTTGCGACGTTCACGAGAAAGATAGGGCAAGGCCAAGATCATTGATTGGGAGAAGATGAAGAAGAAGATGAAGGGTCACTTCTTTCCCTTCGGCTACACGCAAACCTTGTTTCAGCGACTTCATGCGTTGAGGCAGGCGCACGATCAGTCGATGATTACATGGAGGAGTTTTACCAATTGGTCGCCCGAAACGATTTATCTGAGACGGAGGAGCAAATGGTGGCGTGGTATTTGGGGGGTTTACACCAGCCCTTACAAGATGTCCTCAGCCTTCATTCACTGTGGAGTGTTTCGGAAGCTTACCAGCGTGCACTTGCTGTTGAAAAACAGCAAAACAGGAGACAAGTGATCAGGAACGATCACAACAGTCGACCAGTTCGTCCTCAGGATTCTCGTCCTGCTCAACAGCCACCGCAGGGTAATTCTAACCCTACTATTAGATGTTTTCGTTGTGGTGAACAAGGGCATAGGGCGATTGATTGCAGGAAGCCTGCTAGTCAAAAGGGCAAAAATTTGTTGATTGAGGAAAACGCGGAAGACGAGACTGAGGAGATTGGCGAACCCGTGTATGACGATAATGAGACTGATGATGTGCTGTATGGAGATGGTCATGATACTCTGGTCGTTCGCAAGAGTCTACTTACTCCCAAGGGTAATTCAGGGGACGATTGGTTGAGAATCAATATTTTCCACACGACCTGCACAATTGCAGATAAAGTCTGCAAAATGATCATTGACAGCGGCAGTTGTGAGAATGTAGTGTCTGAGGAGGTTGTCCAAAAATTGCAGTTGAAGACGGACCGTCATCCTAAGCCATACAAGCTGTCATGGCTAAATAAAGACAGTGAGGTAACAGTTGATTGGCGATGCCTCGTGTCTTTTTCAATTGGTAGAAAATATTTTGATAATGCCTGGTGTGATGTTGTGTCTATGGATGCGTGTCATCTATTGTTGGGTCGACCCTGGCAGTATGATCGTAGTGTCATTCATGATGGACGGAAGAATACATATTCCCTTAGCATCAAGGGAAAAAAGATTGTGTTAGCACCCCGGCGGGAATGACTCACTCCTACCCCAGTAACCCATAATACTACTCTGCTTTCTATGTCCAGGTTTTTAGATGAGATTGAGCATGGCGACGTGGTCTATGCCTTACTACCTTGCGAGAACAATGCAGTAGACGTGGATGCAGATTTACCAGTAGAAGTGCAGCGGCTGCTAGCAGAATTCTCTAACTTGATGCCAGAGGATCTTCCTCCTAGGCTACCACCTATGAGGGATATTCAACATCAAATTGACCTTGTTCCTAGGTCAAGTTTGCCAAATCAACCAGCATATCGCCTCAGTCCCAAAGAGGCTGAAGAGTTGCAGCGACAGGTGGAAGAGTTGTTGGAGAGGGGCTATATCCGAGAGAGTATGAGCCCATGTGCAGTCCCTGCTCTGCTAGTGCCAAAGAAAGATGGTTCTTGGCGTATGTGTGTTGACAGCCGAGCGATCAACAAAATTACAGTTAAGTACCGGTTTTCAATTCCCCGTCTAGATGATATGTTGGATCAACTATCTGGTTCTAAGGTCTTCTCAAAAATTGACCTTAAAAGTGGTTACCACCAAATCAGAATAAGACCTGGAGATGAGTGGAAGACGGCGTTTAAAACGCCACAAGGGTTGTATGAGTGGATGGTCATGCCTTTCGGGCTATCCAATGCGCCCAGTACGTTCATGAGATTTATGCATCAGGTCTTGCGGCCTTTTATGGGGAAATTTGTTATAGTTTACTTCGATGATATCCTCGTTTATAGTCTGACATTGACTTCACACTTCGATCACCTCCGTGCTATTTTTGAGATGCTAAAATCGGAGTGCTTGTTTGTCAATCAAAAGAAGTGTTCTTTTTTCACTACTTCTGTGACTTTTCTTGGTTTTGTTGTGTCTACTGATGGTGTTCATGTAGATCAGTCAAAGGTAGATGCAGTCTTGGAGTGGCCCAGACCAAAGACCTTACATGACATTCGAAGTTTCCATGGCTTGGCGTCTTTTTACCGCCGATTCATTAGAAATTTCAGTACTCTGATCGCCCCTATCACAGAGTGCCTCAAAGGGGGGGGCGTGATTTCCAGTGGTCTGAGGAGGCAGAGGCCAGTTTTCAACTGGTCAAGCAGAAGATGACCGAGGCTCCAGTTTTGGCACTTCCAGATTTTGACAAAGTGTTCGAGGTAAATTGTGATACATCTGGCGTTGGCATTGGTGGTGTTCTGAGTCAGACAGGTCGTCTGGTTGCTTTTTTCAGTGAAAAACTACCGGGATCAAAGAAAAATTATTCCACTTATGATCTGGAGTTCTATGCCATAGTTCAGTCCCTGAAGCATTGGCGTCACTACCTAGTACAGAACGAGTTTATTCTGTTTACCGATCATGAGGCCTTGAAGTACATCAATGGACAACACAAGCTGAGTAGACGTCATGCCAAGTGGGTGGCATACTTGCAAGAATTCACTTTTACGCTGAGGCACCAAGCAGGGAGTTTGAACCGCGTCGCAGATGCCCTGAGCCGTCGTACCTTACTTCTCACCACCATGAGTACTAAAGTTGCAGGCTTTGAGACGTTCACAGATATGTATGCAGCTGATACTTCCTTTGGAATGATATTTCAGGAGGTAACTGAGGGTCACCGTCATGATTTTGTTTTGCATAATGGGTATCTGTTTTGTGGATTACAGTTGTGCATTCCAGATTGTTCATTGAGGCAGCAAATTATAAGTGAACTCCATAATGAGGGACACTTTGGCCGAGATAAGACCTTGGCCCTTATCTCTTCTGACTTTTATTGGCCCAATTTGACTAGTGATGTGGCCCATTATGTGGACCGTTGTTATGTGTGCCAGCGATCTAAGGGAGTTCTCACCAATGCGGGCTTGTACACTCCCTTACCTGTTTCTGAAGCTCCTTGGTTCGATGTCAGCATGGATTTTGTACTAGGCTTACCCCGCACCCAAAGGGCCTCGGATTCTATCTTTGTTGTGGTTGACAGGTTTTCCAAGATGGCTCATTTTGTAGCTTGCAGAAAGACTATGGATGCTGACCGGATTGCCCATCTCTATTTCAAGGAGATTGTGCGTTTACATGGTGTTCCTCGATCCATCACTTCATATCGTGATACTAAGTTCATCAGTCATTTCTGGAAGAGCCTGTGGGGGAAACTGGGAACGCAGTTGAATTTCAGTAGCGCCTACCACCCCCAGACGGATGGCCAGACCGAGGTGGTGAACCGAAGTTTGGGAAACCTCTTCAGGTGTTTGGCAGGAACAAAGCCGAAGCAGTGGGATTTGGCATTGCCTCAGGCATAATTTGCCTACAACAGATCAAAAAACAGAACCATAGTTTTAAGCCCATTTGAGATTATCTATGGTCAGAACCCATCCGGGGTGCTGGACTTAGCCCCTATTCCACGTATAGGTCATTTCAGTCCTAAAACAGATGAGATGCCAATTATCTTCAAAGTATCCATGAGCAGGTGAAACAAACCATTCATGAGAGCAATACCAAGTACAAGACTCGGGTCGACAATCATCGTCGTCAGGTACTTTTTGATGTTGGTGATTTTGTTTGGGCTATATTAACTCGTGATAGTTTTCTTGTTGGTGAGTATAATAAGGATTGGAAGATTGGACCTTGTGAGGTCGTGCAGAAGATCAATGATAATGCTTACAGGTTGCGCCTTCCCAACCACTTGAAGACTTCTGATGTCTTTAATGTGAAGCACCTGAGTCATTGTTTTGTGGATTCTGATGACACTACTCTGAACTCGAGGACGAGTTCTTTCTAACCCGGGGTGACTGATGCAGGGGGATCCGAGATAGATGATGCTGAGCTGTCAGATTGCACCTTGATGGCGCTGAGATACCATGAATTGGCAGATCAGCGTAAAGGCGGGAATTGATTGTGACATGTTCCTCATTGGGGTCGTTTTGAGCATGTTTCAGTCTTTTGGCCATAACTTTGGCTACAGGTGTCAGAATCGCGCATAAGACCCCAATCCAAAAAGCTCTTTTCAATGCGCACGCTCTCCACATGAGCTACGCTCCATGTGGCTTTTTTTGCAACCTCAAATTCTGCCGTCTTCCCCTCCGAATCACTAGAATTAGATATTTTTTTCTATTTATGGTAATATTTCGATTGTCAATTACGAAGTCAATTTAAATCCGATTTAGGCCGGATTTTTTGGAGATTGCTTATTTTATTTCGAATTTCAATTTAGAGTTATTTTCAGGATTTTTCTATTTTTGGCAAAATTCGAATAAAGACGATTTTTGGCTATAATAGTCCGGCTTGTGGACTGATTTTGGCATTGTTTGATTTGATAATATTTTATTAAACCCTAGAGACTTTTTTTCTCTGGATTTTTTTGGGCGAATTTCCTCTTGTGAATCATCTGTTGGAGCGCTTGTAGGATAATCACTATTCTGTCTGGCGTCAACCATCCTCGAGAGAACTGAAGTTAACATAGCCATAACAAAGAGACCTTCCCGTGGATGAATCTCCACAAACACGGACAAAGGATATTCCTTTGAACGAATTGAAAGCATCGAAGAGTGTCCCGTCAGTGATATTGGTATGCAAATCCCCGACGTACAACGAAACCATCAACGCCGTTAACGTCACCGCCGTTGGAACCGCCATTGATCCTCCTCCCGGAACTATTACCTCAGCAATGATTCACTGAATTTCAAAATCGAAAGCCAATGGTTTCCAGTGGAAAAATTGAGACTTTTCTAGAAAACAGTGTTACGATTTTTGAATTTGATTTCTTTTGCGTTACTTGGAGACTGTGAATAACGAAGAGAAAGTCCAGGGTGTTTTCTTGCATGGGACATTCAATGGTAAGGAATGTAATAATAATAACAGCCATGTTACGTTACCTTACGCGCCTTTTTAGAGCGTGACCGCTACTTTCTTTTCATTTCATTATTATTGGGTAAAATATATCATAGGTCACTGAACTATACGTACATGATCTTTTTGGGTTATTTAACTTTCAAAATAGTTATTAAATTTTATTAAATTATTACGAAATATCAAAAATTTACACTTATTATAATTTTTTAGTGATCATTTGGTAATGATTTAACGAATTTAATATCTCTTTCATAACTTTTAAAAGTTAAATGATTGAAACAATCCTCGAACATAGTTTAGAATAAAAAATCATTATCTTATTATAGAAGAAAAAACTTACCTTATTTATTAACGATAATGTTTCTAAATTGAATTATTTGTATCACGCGTCTTCAAATTATAATTCTCGGTTTAAATTGATTTTTAAACTTTTAAAATATTTCAATTTAATCTTTAAATTATGATTCTCATTCTAAATTAGTCATCAAATTTTTAAATATTCCAATTGCTTAGAATATTTCTGGCTCTCATGTTGAAACTAAAGTCGCTCTACTGTAAAGTGGAGGAGCGAAAACTCAAATTGCATAGAGGTCAGGGAAGGAAAAGCAAAGACAACCGCATGGAAGCAAACTGGAACTAGGCCTTCATTCGGCTCGTAAGCATCAGGAATGTCATCCACAAATTATGACCATCATTCTAAACTGGTCCTCAAACTTTTAGATCTTCTAATTTCATTCCCAAATTCATCCAAATATGTAATTAATTTTAACCATAATTTAACCTATTTTTTTCAAATATGAAATTAATTTTATTAGCATGGGATGTGATCAACGTATACCAATAGTTTGAGATGATATTGAATATTTAAAGGTTGGGGACCAATTTAGAATGAGGATTATAGTTTGAAAATGAAATTGAAATATTCAAAATTTTAAGAACTAATTTAAAATGATAGTCATAGTTTAGGGATGAAATTAAAATATTTAAAAACTTGGAAATCAATTTAAAATAAAGGTTATAATTTGAGGATGTGTAATACAATTAACTTTTTTAAATGTTCGAACCAAGCGACCTCAGTGGTCATGTGTGTAAGCGTTCATTGTCAAATGATTGAGACTTTTTGAGCATATACTATCTTATATTCATCCTATCAAATAAATAATATACTTGAAATTTATTTATATAGAAAGGAAATTTATAATATTTTTACATAAAAATATATATTTTTAAAAATAACCCAAAATCTTTGCTCCCATTTGCATTTTAACCCCAAAATCACTAGCTTGAGAAGATATAGACTCACACACAATAAAAATTAATGACACGAATCAAGTGACCTCAGTAGTTAAAATGATACTTGTCATTCACAGAGGTCTCAGGTTCGAACATGATATCTGCACTAGTTAAAATATCAAGTATTTTACAATTAAGATACTCGATTAATTGATTGTTACAATTAAGTCATCCAATTAATTGATTGTTACAACCAAATCATGTATTACCATATTGACTATCATTGGTTGTCGTATACACGATGATTGATGAACTCCAAATTTCTCCATAGGATTCACCTCAATCTTCTCGTTCAATTAATCAGATTAGATTCTCGAGAATCTCGTAAAAGTCATGAAATCTCCTTAAAAGTTTCTGACTTCTTGAATCTCAAAATACACCGTCCACCTTCATACGACCTTCGTCATCCAAAAGTACCAAAATAAAAATTAAAAAAAATGTAAAATTTTGATAATTACATAAAAGGTAACTAATTTTAAAAATATATATATCCTAAAATATTGAAAATGTTTGGATAGGATTGACCCTAACTAATGCTTCTTCCCCGGTCGGCCCATCATAAAATTGAAAATCTTTTCCATCCTTTTTGGCTGTGACCCGGCCTCTGTCTCTTCGTAAACATTACGTTTTCGCTTTACAAGGGGACCATTAGCTATTGATCCACTTACAGCGGAGTCTTCATTGTTATCTTCCAAATCTTTCTCGTACAGTATTCGAATCCCACATTTCTTCACCTTAACACTTGGGTGACAGTCATCGGATTTGACTGATAACTGAAGTTCACCGAATTCTTTATTTGACCAATCCGATGATGAATTCTCGGTTTCACTTTCACCACATTTATCCTCCAAGGAAAATGGATATAATTTCTCATGCGAAAAATAACAGAAATAAATGTGATCCTTTATTATGGGCTCGTTGTATTCTTCAGAAAAAATCCAGGCGCACCCTGTGACACGTCGAGGATTTCTACTTCGACAAACAGATCCATCAGAACCTTCTTTTCTGGAATTCCTATGATGGATAACAGCTTCACATGTGAGTTCCTCATTCCTTGAAGCATCATCGTTGACAAAAATGCAGCAGAAAACAACTCCGATCCATTGACTATCATTCTGAATATTGTTAGGCAGTGGTATCTTGATTGAAGAGTCAACTGTTTGATGGCTGAACCATTTTGGTATTTCACCTCCAGGTAAAACACCATCAGAACTTTTTTTTAAATATGGAACTCGCTGCAAAATAAAACTTATGTTGCTTGGTAACTAAGTATATAATTCTTTAAAAACGAGATTCTGTAAATACGAAAGAATGATAAATCGACCTTAAGATGGAATTTCAGCATTGTTATTGCATTGATATTCTCAACCAATCTGTAGCAGTGAAGGACAGAAAACTGTGTCCAATCCGGTGCATTGCAAACCTTTGATGGAGCTGCAAATAATTCTCGAGAAGCACCAGGTATAGGAAACGATTTAAGCTCCCTGCAATTTGACAATCCAAGATATTGAAGCCTGGAATGTCCACTACCAATCACAGGTATGCTGATGAAACTGTTGCCGCCAAGGTCAAGTTTTTCCAGAGAGGATAAACAAGAAATATCACTAGGAATATCTCCATCATGTAAATTGCAGTTCCTTAGTTTCAGCTCTCTTAATGATCTCAAACCTGACAATGAATGTAACATCAGAGGCACAGACTCTATCCTTTGGAATACCTGGAAAAGAGAAGTTAGATTTGGTCCTAACTTAGAAGATGGTCCCTTGAGCCTATTCAAAGACAAAACTTTAAGATTTTTAAGTTGAAAAATGAAGGATGGTGGTTTTGCTATGGCTGTTTCACTTAAGTCGAGCTCTTCCAACAACTCTACTTGCTGCAAATTCTCTGGCAAATTTTCAACTTTATAACAGCCCGAAAGATCGAGAGATTTTAGACATTTACACCCACCTATGCTCCTTGGGAGACTAATAAGGTTTCTACAATCTTTTAGGATTAATGTTTCAAGAGATTCTATTCCAATTTTGGTTGGAAGATTCCTAAGACTTCTGCAGCTTCTTAAATTCAGAAGTTTAAGCCTCGAAAGAACTCCGACTGATGGATGAACATCTACTATTCTTGTACAACCTTCCAATATCAAAATTTCCAGATTTGGGGCTGTTGTAAAGTCTGGTGTCTTGATCAGGTTTTCGGACCCTTTGAGGTTGAGCACATTCAACTTATACAGGGGCTGCTGAAAATAATAAAAAATTAGAGAAGATTTAGTTAATATTCCTAAAATAAGTTAAAAAACAATGATCATATGAATTAGTTCTTACTATATTTCCCCTCCATAGTTGTTCAATGCGACTGTATGGTAGCAGAAGTGCAACCAGGTTGTCTGGTTGGAACCTTGGAGGTAAGAATCTTAAAGGATATCCCATCCAATCTAAGAGCCGTAACTCATTAGGAAGATATTTGAGTTCATCACAATTTGAGAGGCAAAGGACTTTGAGCAATCTCAAATTTTTCATCTTCGAGATAGCATTAACATTCAAATTGAGCATCTTGTTGGATATCCTGATAACCAAGGGTAAAACAACGAAAACTCAGTTCAAATTTGAAAATATCCCAAAGTATTCCATACCTAAAAGCAAGGCTGCTCCAACACTTAATTTATCTATGCTCCGTCAAACCCTCGTATCCCACACATCCGAATAGAAACATAGAAATGATTCTTCTAGGATTTTCAAAATAAATTAGAAAAATTAAAAGTATAGTGAGTAAAATAAGAAAGAGAGTTTGACTCAACGAGGAACTGAATGATAGAATAAAACTTTAAGGGTCACTTTCGACCGAATATGAAATTTACACATGGGTGCATGTTTATGTACGTCTTCCTACCTTTTATTGTCAATGATCATGCCTTCAATCACTTCCGTAGCCTAAAAACATTCAAAAGTAAGATATAAGAAACACAAAATAAAATGAGGCAATTTCTGTGATAAAACTTGTGAAAAATTACATTGTGTGTATCATTTCTGTCTTTAACATTAATATAATATGCAATTTCCCTGGAATGACTTACAGTGTTTTTCGTTAGCACATGATATACATCCTTTTCCTCCCACAATCTACAACGTTTTCCAGGCTCCTCAATAGATTTTTCCCGAACAATTTTTCTTCCCATTTCTTGTAGTAAGTTATGCATCCACAATTTGTTATTTTCGTCTGTTGGGGAAAACGGGTTATTTCTCACACGAATGTAGTTTTAAAATGACCTAAAATGTCAAGATTAAAACCACCAAAGGTTGCACAGCGGATAAATCTGTCAAACTATTGAATATTAAAACACAATGAAAAAGAACCGAATAAAAAACCATAAAGGAGAGAACACACCAAATTTACGAGGTTCTACGAGAATATCGTCTACTCCTCGGGCACCACACCGGATGATAACTTCACTATATCGCCAATATTACAACAAATGGAATTATTTGGAATTCCCAAAGTGGGAGAATGAAGAATACAAGAGGAAGAGAGAACTTATTTTTGGGATGATTTCTAATGGAAATACTTAGGCCTATTTATAGTTGAGTTTCAAGAACAATATGTTCAAAGTTTGGCCACCTACCAAAGAATTTTCCAATGTGTACAAGTTAGCCACCAAATATGAAATTCACATGTTCAAAGTTTGGCCACCAACCAAGATGAAATTTCCAATAAGTTGGCCACCAACCAAGATGAAATTTCCAACTTGTCAACTTAATTTCTAGACAAATCTAACAAATCTCCACCTTGGCTTGAAATTACCAAGCCTACTCAACTTCTTCAACTCCCCAAATTTGTAGTGCCTCTAATTGCGCTCACAAGCGCCACACACCCGAAGGTGTTCATACTTTCAGGATGTTAATCAAGTTCAAACAATGATTGAACTTGATTACTGTTACCACCTTGGTCATCATATCTGCAGGATTTTCTGATGTCGTAATTTTCTGAAGTAGAATCTTTCCTTCTTCAAAGATCTCCCGCACAAAGTGATACCTCACGTCGATATGCTTAGTCCTTGAATGGTAGACTTGATTTTTCGCTAAGTGAATAGCACTCTGACTGTCACAATAGAGACTAATGTGACTTTGAACAACTCCCAAGTCTTCCATCAGCCCGTTAAGCCAAATTGCTTCCTTTACAGCCTCTGAAACTGCCATGTATTCTGCCTCTGTAGTAGACAAGGCCACCGTAGATTGCAATGTAGACTTCCAACTTACTGGGGCTTTAGCAAGAGTAAACAAATACCCAGTAGTTGATCGACGCTTATCCAAATCACCAGCATAATCGGAATCAACATATCCAACCATACACTGACCAAGTGCTTCATCCTGTTCAAAAACTAAACCAACATCCACAGTTTGTTGGAGATACCGTAGAATCCATTTCACAGCTTGCCAATGTCCTTCTCCAGGATCATGCATGTACCTGCTCACAACTCCAACTGCTTGTGAAATGTCAGGACGCGTACACACCATTGCATACATCAAGCTCCCAACTGCATTAGCATATGGAACTTTTGCCATATACACTCGTTCTACGTTAGTTTTAGGAGATAATTGAGAACTAAGTTTCAAATGAGAAGCCAATGGGATACTTACATGTTTGGTATTTTCATTCATGCCAAAACATTGTAATACCTTTCTCAGATACTGCTTCTGTGTTAAACAAAGCTTCCCTCTCTGTCTATCTCTGCTTATCTCCATACCAAGAATCTTCTTGGCCTCACCTAGATCTTTCATCTCAAACTCTTGATTCAACTGAGCCTTTAATTTGTCTATCTCCTTTTGACTCTTCGAAGCGATCAATATATCGTCAACGTACAAGAGAAGATAAATGAAAGATCCATCTTTGAGCTTTTGCAAATACACACAATGATCATATTTGCTTCTAGTATACTTTTGCCTCCTCATAAAGCTATCAAATCGCTTCTACCACTGCCTCGGAGATTGCTTCAATCCATATAGCGATTTGTTAAGCTTACAAACCCATTTCTCACAACCACCATCTTTGTATCCTTCTGGCTATGTCATATAGATCTCCTCTTCTAAATCACCGTGCAAGAAAGCCGTCTTTACATCAAGTTGAGCTAGCTCCAAATTCAACTGTGCTACCAAGGCCAACAATATTCTAATGGAGGAATGCTTCACAACAGGGGAAAATACTTCATTGTAGTCGATTCCCTCCTTTTGAGCGTAGCCTTTAGCTATCAACCGTGCCTTGTAGCGAACATCTTTCTTGTTATGAGATCCATATTTCTTTACAAATACCCACTTGCATCCAATGGCTCTTTTACCTTTCGGTAATTGTGCCAGTTTCCAAGTGTCGTTCTTTTGGAGAGATTGCATTTCTTCATCCATGGCACTTTTCCACTTATCACTTTCCAAGCTTTGTATTGCTTCTTGGTAAGTGATAGGGATATCATCATCAACAACTGGAAGAGCATAGGCCACCATATCAACAAATCGAGCAGGTCTACGAATTTCTCTCCTTGGCCTTGTAACTGCAAGTGTTTCTGGTGTCTCCAATGGTTCTTGGGTTTGAACATCTTCATCTTCTGATTCTTCTATTGGAGTTGAAGAATCAACTGCATCAACTTCTAGGATCATCATCTGCTGAAACTCCACCTGTTTTGTTGTATGCTCCACCTGCAGCGGAGTACTACTTGTTTGGACAGCTTCACTTATTACCTTCTTTACTAGGGCAGATTCATCAAAGGTAACATCTCTACTACAAATTATCTTCTTGGTGTCTAAACACCAAAGGCGGAATCCCTTCACTCCATGGGTGATTCCCATAAAGAGATCCTTCTTTGCTCTCGGATCAAGCTTGGATTCCTTCACATGATAATAAGCAGTGGATCCAAATACATGTAAGGAATCATAATCAGTAGCAGGTTTTCCAGACCATACCTCCAATGGTGTTTTTCCTCCTATCGTTGATGACGGCAGACAATTAATGAGATTGCCAGTATATGTCACAGCCTCAGCCCAAAATGCCTTGCCTAACCCAGCATTAGACAACATACATCGAACTTTCTCCAATAGTGTTCGATTCATACGCTCTGCCAACCCATTCTGTTGTGGTGTATGTCTAACAGTGAAGTGTCGAACAATACCATACTCATGGCAAACGTCAAAGAATGGGTCACTTTTATATTCCCCTCCATTGTCCGTCCTAAGACGTTTGATCTTTCTACCAGTCTGGTTCTCGATCATATTTTTCCATTTCAGGAAAATTTGAAGCACTTCATCTTTAGACTTCATCGGATACACCCAAACTCTTCTGGAAAAGTCATCTACAAAAGTTACAAAATAATGGTTTATCGTCTTTGAAGGACCCCATACATCCGAGTGAATATAATCTACAATACCTTTTGTATTATGTATAGTGGTGCCAAACTTCACTCTCTTCTGCTTTCCCAGAACACAATGCTCGCAAAAGTTCAATTTGCAAGCCTTTGCACCTTTCAACAATCCTTTCTTTGCCAGAATTTGCAAGGATTTCTCTCCAGCATGTCCCAACCGCATATGCCACAACTGGGTTGCGTCCAAATCATCACCTCCGGAAGCTACTGCAACTGCTCCAATAATTGTACTACCTTGGTAGTAATACAAATTATTTTTCCTGATGCCCTTCATCATCACAAGTGCGCCATATGTGACTTTTAAAACTCCATCTCTCATAGTGACTACTGAGCCTTTAGATTCTAAGGCTCCCAACGAGATGAGATTTTTCTTCAAATTGGGCACGTATCGGACATCCGTCAGAACTCTGGTTGATCCACTAAATCGGAGAACCACTCCCGATTAGGGAACATATGATAGGTGCAACCCGAATCTAATATCCACTCATCGGAATGGAATGTTGTTGATGAAGCAACCAATGATATGTCAGAGTCATGTGCATCATGCTCTGCAACACATGCATCTGGAGCAGCTTTTCCTTTCTTCTTCAGCTTCGGACAATCTTTCTTCCAATGGCCTTTCTCATGACAAAAGGCACATTCATCTTTTCCCAGTCTGGACTTCGACTTTGATCTCCCTCTCCACTTTGGCTTTTGACTTTTTGAGTGACCTCTTGCCACCATGGCCTCTACTGCTTCGTACTTGCTCTCCTTCTTGGTTTTCTTCCTGAGTTCATAACTATACAAAGCAGCAGTTACATCTTTATGGTAACATTATCCTTACCATGAAGTAACGTTGTCTCAAGGTGCTCAAATTCATCTGGAAGAGATGACAACAACATCAAAGCCAAATCTTCATCTTTGAAGGATTCATCCATGCCCAATAAGTCTTCCACTAGCTCATTGAACACAGTGATGTGTTCATTCATACTGGTGCCTGGTTGATAATCAAATCTGAACAATCTTTTCTTCATGTGGAGACGATTCTGTGAGCTTTTCTTCAGGAATTTTTCCTCCAAAGCTTTCCACATCTTACTTGCAGAAGTCTCGTTCTTGTAGCCATACTTCTGCTCCCTGGAAAGACAAGATCGAATCGTGCTGCACGCCAAACGATTGATTGTTCCCCATTCTTTCTCCTCCATATATTCGGGCTTTTCTTTCTCAATGGCGATGTCTAGACCTTGTTGGAAAAAAGCATCTAACACCTCGCCTTGCCACATGCCAAAATGACCGGATCCATCGAACAACTCCACCGAGAAATTTGCATTTGAAATCACCCTCCTCACCGGTCCAGATGAAGAGCTTGATGTCTCAACTGATCCGTATTTTGACATTTTAATTCTAACGAATAATATTCAATATCACGAACTATATCTTTTCAGCAACGGAACCACCAGGATAACCTCAACCGAAGCTCTGATGCCAATTGTTGGGGAAAACATGTTATTTCCCACACGAACGTAGTTTTAAAATTGACCTAAAATGTCAAGATTAAAACCACCAAAGGTTGCACAGCGGATAAATCTGTCAAACTATTGAATATTAAAACACAACGAAAAAGAACTGAATAAAAAACAATAAAGGAGAGAGCACACCAAATTTACGAGGTTCGACGAGAATATCGTCTACTCCTCGGGCACCACACCGGATGATAACTTCACTATATCGCCAATATTACAACAAATGGAATTCTTTGGAATTCCCAAAGTGGGAGAATGAAGAATACAAGAGGAAGAGAGAACTTGTTTTTGGGATGATTTCTAATGGAAATACTTAGGCCTATTTATAGTTGAGTTTCAAGAACAATATGTTCAAAGTTTGGCCACCTACCAAAGAATTTTTCAATGTGTACAAGTTAGCCACCAAATATGAAATTCACTTGTTCAAAGTTTGGCCACCAACCAAGATGAAATTTCCAATAAGTTGGCCACCAACCAAGATGAAATTTCCAACTTGTCAACTTAATTTCTAGACAAATCTAACATTGTCAACTGTTAGTAGAGACTTCTTAATGAGAACATCGATTCCAATATCCGGGAAAAACTCACAGCCATCCAATACTTTCATTACAAAATCTTTCTCGTCCCCATTGAAGAAGCATGTTATGGCTAGAAATATGTTCTTCTCCGTTTCTTCCAATCCGTCAAAGCTAATTTGCAGTCTGTCAATAATCTTTTTGTTAGAATCCTTTTCAAGTCTTTGGATTGCACTTCTCCATTGAGCTACATCTCTACCGCATAAAAAAGAACCCAAGACTTCAAGAGCTAAGGGGAGACCACTGGCATATTTTGCAACATGTTCAGAAAGCTCCATGAAAACATAATTTGGTGCTGTCTCACTATCAAAAGCTTTCAAACTGAAAAGTTGAAGTGTCTCGTTTTCATTCAATGTTGAAGGCTTATACACATCATCAACTAGGTAAGATTGGAGCAAGTGTTCATCTCTTGTTGTTATAATGATTCTACTCCCTAAACTGAACCAATCATGCCTTCCAACCAAGCATTTCAAGTGCTGTAAATTATCCACATCATCAATCACAACAAGGACCTTTTTGTTGGATAATCTGCAGCTAATTATGGCATTCCCTTCATGAACATTGAAAATTTTGAAGACTTCACCAGACAAGATCTGGAAAAGAAGTTGTTTATGTAGAGAAACGAGTCCAAATTTTTCTGAAACTTCTCGAACGTCAGCAATGAAGCATTTACCTTCAAAATGAGATGACATTTGGTCGTATACAACTCTTGCGAGAGTTGTTTTACCGATGCCACCCATTCCGCAAATTCCTATGATACGGATGTTGTCTTCCCAGATCTCTATTTTTGAATACAACTCCTCCAAGCGTGAACTGATTCCAACCAACTCATCATGAAAAACTGGATATGTTTGACATAATTTTGCTGATATTTTTCTAACAATGTTTCCAATAAATTCAGGTTCATGCCTACAAAGAAATAAATTTTAGTTGTTTTGAATAAATATTTTAAATCTAGTTGTAATCATTAAATTAATTAAACTAGAAAAAAGATAAGAAAAGAAGGATTTACCCGTTATTTAAATGCCATCCTTTGATGTTAGCCACTTGAGTCAAAGCATTTCGCCACCTTAGAATCTTTTCTTTATCTTCCTTGTACCTGTCTTCATGTTTGGTAAAGGCTTCTCCAACTTTTTCTTTCTGTTTTCTTAAATCAGATGGATTCACATTGTAGAAAATTGGAAACACTTTATGTCCTTTCTTATTTTTCTGTTTAACAATCTCGACAAGCTCCTCCAAGCACCAACCTGAAAAGGTATAGGTTTCCGAGAAACCTATTACCGAGCACCACGATTGTTGAATGGCTCTGACGAGTTGTGGTGGGATCTCTTCGCCGGCCTCCAGCTTTGGATCATCCATGAAAGTGACAATTCCACTCCGTTTCAGAGCACCGTAGAGATGATATGTGAAGTTTTTGTGGGTATCTTCACCTCTGAAACTCAAGAAAACATCATATTTCTTTCTAGAAATAGATGATGAAGTTGAAGGTAAGGACAACATGATGAAGTTTGAGAAGGAAAATATGTCTGAATATGGTGTTCAAAATCAGAAAATAGATATCTCAATGCCCAGAAAGAAACTATAAACAATCAAAGTATAGGAGCATAGAAAAAGGGCAAAACAGATCAAATTCCCAATGAAACAGATCTGGGGTTATAGACCAGAAAAGGAAGTATTTGACAAGGCTTTGTTCATAAACAGAAACTAGAGTTCAAAATAAATAGTTCTTGAACTCTGATATTAACCTATTCTATCTACCGTCAATTGGTCCAACTTGGGGTTGGCTTCTATTGTAGATATTTTTTCTATTACTTGCCCTATTTTCCCACCACTTCTATGTTTCACATTTATCAATCTATATATTCAGAGAACATTAAGTTCTTGTATAAACAAATGATAGGGGGAAACTTGTCAAGTAAACATTAATTATGGTGTCCCACATTTGACAATTATTGCTCAACTTATGAGCATCAAATCAAAGTCATTTGAGTAACTGCAGCTAGAGGAATTGATAATAATTTTACTAGTTCAAGCCATGATCACCAGTACCTACAGCTGAAAAAAACATAATTAAAACCTTCAAAATGGTTGAAACTCAAATCAAATTTGCCCTTAAATTTAGAAGCTATTTCACAACTCACCGTGTAGAAATCAGAAAAGAAAGATGCCCAGCATCTACCCTGGTTTCCCTAATAATACAATGATGGTGAATTACAAAACAGTAAAAGAAAATCTAATTAGCTTTACCTTTGATATCAGCATAGTGATTCTATGTGTGGCTCTTCCCAGAATTGTTGAATATCGTACATTTAAAAACAAAAATGTATTGCCGTACTTCATCGATTTACACTCTCACTGCCATAATCATCTTCTACTTTGCTCTGGTCGAAAAAAATGTCACCACTACCACCACCACCATCTGCATCCTCCTAGGGTAACAAAAACTTACTGTTGCATTGGGGACATTGAATTCACATTTGAAAAAATTAGAAATGAGTCTAATGATTTGATTTTAATTGAATTTATATTTTTTCTTTGAATTATGATTGAATATATTTGGCCAAAATTATTGGATCAGAAAAAATATCATGTTCGTGTGAGAAATCACTTTCTTTTATTCCCTTTGGTTATATTTTGCACAGTTTTGCATATAATACAAGATTAAAGTCTCAAACACAATACATCGTATAGTTTATCCTAGGGAAAGTGGAGAGCTTGAAATAGAAGCAAAGCTAGAAAGTACCGGCATTACCCTTGTCCAAGAATGGGTATGAACTCTTTTTATCCAGTGATGAGGATGCGGATGAGAATGAATGCACAGAAGCGTCAAATCCCTCTGCGCCCCCGTCAGATGCAGCCGGTGGCATCAAATTTTCTGGTAAGTCAACCTCTCCATCAAGATACCTTACTAACTGCCTCATGTTTGGCCGTGCCGCAGGCACGTCATTTGAACAAATTAGGCCTATATCACACCCCAATATGGGGTTAGATTTCTTTCAGTTTAAAATAAGTGAAATGATATCAAGTTTGATTGGCAATTAATTGTGTTATCATACTATTATATTATTATACAAATTGAGGGCCACTCAATAAGATATATATATATAGATATATATTATTTTAGTAAGGATAATGGTATTGTAGACAAGGTTGGAATCCATTGCTTTCCAGCTTAGAATAAATGTTATATTATTTCCTGCTTGTTGATTCACAGGATTTGTTGACAAAAAGAAAAATAAAAATAATGGAAATGATGTGGTTTGTGTGATAAAGAATATTGCAGCGTTAACTGGTGCGTTGTTTACTTTGCATGCCTCTCAAATTCGTATTGAGTTGCCTACACTCTCAGATAAAGACAATGAGCATATGGGAATTTTATTATTTTTAATATTATTATTTTATTTAGATTTACATGAACCATACAATTGAGATATTTTGAAAGTATCTCTTTTATAGAGTGTATATACGTAATGGAGGAAATAATTTGGGAGGGCAAAAATACAAACCCAAACTCATCCTTATCTTCACCCGTTCCCATGCTTCGCTGTTCTCTACAAGCTCGATAGAATGGGAGCTGAACCATGGAAAGTTCTCAACCAGTCTAGGTCTAAGCTCTGGCATCATGCTGCAACTGTCGGAGAAAATGTTGTTGGTGAAGAAGTACCGGAAGCTGAAGTGGTCGCAGCGCCGACTAAGTTCACTTTCAACTATTCGCTAGTCGATGTTGCTCTTCGGATCTTACTATTTGCAGCGGCTTTAAGTTCTGTGGTGGTCATAGTTACCAACAAGCAAACCGATGGGTTGAGACTACGGAGGAAGAAGATGGAGCAGCTAACAATGGCTACTATTACTGCCCGTTAAAAATCAAGAAAGGAAAGGCGGTTTGCCTTTTTAAGCGAGACAGAATGAGATCTAAGATATTCTTGGAAATTAAAAAAATTAAGGGAAAACAAAAAGAAATATCATATGAAGATAAAGGAAAAATGGGGTTATGATTCCAACAAGAAAAATCAGTGTTGCCTAGGAAAATAAAGTGGTAAATCACAAGGTATGTCACCCAAGTTTGGTGAGATCTTTACTTTGTCTCTTAGTTTTCAAGTGGCTATAGTTATGCCATAATAGTTTTTACAAGATCAATTTAGTCACTAATTTAAGTAATTAACTATGCTGATGGCAATATTAGTTTTCAATTTTATCAATTGAGTCCTCAAATTATTATTTAGATTCTAATAAATTATTTTTTTATGGCGAGGAAACTTATTTTAGATTTGAGTTCGTATATTCGAAAGTTCGGGTTCTTGATTGTTTGGGTTTTTGTCGACGTCCTGATTCTGATTCCGAAGTATGTTTCGCCAAATTCGAACTCGGTAAGCTGTTTTTCACTAATTAATCATCCGATTCGATCTGTTTTTCGGAATTAAGCCTCGTTTTTTATGAAATTTCTATTGTTATATATTTGAGGAATTATTGGAAGTTGAATTAAAGATCGAGGGCGTTAAAATGGATTTTAAATGGTCGATCAGTATGGCATGAAAATTGAGGTAATACTTTACTACCTCTTTATGTTTCATGGAACATGTTGATATTGGTAAATGCATGAATAAGATAATATGAGTCTCATTTGTGTAGTTAATTAAATTGAGTGCTAATTTTTCTTGGGGTTTTTCGAACCAAACCAGAGAGAGTAAAAGAGAGTAGAGTGGTTCGTTTACCTTAGTCGTCGATCGTCCGTCGTCGAGGAGGCGAGGTAGCCGAAGAGTCGGAGGCCTTTGGCCGTGTTAGGGGTTGGTTTAGCTTCTTGGTTCTCTGTTTTGGTGTTTAGACGAGGGAAGGAGGTCGCTTGGTTCTCGAAGCTAGTTCACTTCTTCGGTCTCAAAGATTACTGGTTTAGCTTTTAGGCCATAGCATAACCAGGGGTATTGATTAACCGACCCTGATATCAAAATCTTTATGATACTAGCTATTCAGATTGTTGATTCATATTACTAGTTTTCAATTTTCATGTGTTGCTGTTGTCATTTCATGTGTCCAAATGCTGACTATAAAGATAAGCTATTATTTGGAACCTGTATGTTCAAACTGATACTGGTGAGGAGATAGGTTAATAAGGTTATGATGTTTTGGAATTCAATGGATTATGTTCCTGTTTAATAGACATGGAAAGGAAGACTTAACTCGAAATACTGACTCGAAGATGATCCCGTGGTCATATTGACCTCAGAGATAACCTTATGTTTAAACTTATTTAGGATCAAACCTATAGTGTTTAGCCTGTTAATTTCGATTGGCCAGATCTTTTAGGTTTTCTGTTGTTTCTTTTGTTTAGGTTTGCTTTTCGATCCGAGCATGACTCTTCGCTAACTCGTAGCCTTGCTTTGTGTTATATTTGTTGTTCCTTGTTGGCATCATGATGAGGTTGCACTTTAGCTATATTTTAGAACCATTTATTTTTTAATAGTTTAGGTTGATTATAATATAAAATATGTTTAAAAAAAGTAATCATTGATAACATATCCTACTGTTACAATTGCTCGAATTCAGTACCTTAAATGAGAACAACACTCCATTGAACTGTATGCTTCTTGGATCCACCACAATTCAGAACTAACATGTTTTTCACACATGTTTCTCCTCGCCACTTGTTAGAAGAAGAGCCTATCGAAAACATTTTTTTTGAATTGGTAATATCTGTATAGTCAGGTTAGAATCTTCAGGATGGCGAGTAAGGCGAGTAAGGTGAGAGTTTCGGATGGGAGAAATTGTGTTTCAGTGTTCGTTTTCAATATTCCAGAGTTCCTTCATCATTATGGTCTTTGGTTAATATTCGATAAATATGGCGAGGTGGTAGATTCATTCATCCCTAACAAAAGAAGCAATGGAGGTAGCAGGTTCGGTTTTGTTCGCTTAAGTAGATTGGAGAACGCGAAGAAGGCTATCATCTGTGCTGATAGATCTAGGATTCAAGGAAATAAGGTTAGAGTTTTCATGGCGAGATTTCAACCTCGTGATGCCTTCTGGAGAAAGAAGTGTGCTTTTGCAAAATCAGCTGAGGTCAAGAGTAGAGAGGAGGATGTTAGTCTTTCAGAGGTTCCCACTGTCGGTGTTGTTGACGAGGATAAGCTTTTAACTCTTAGAGATAGTTTGGTAGGTTGGTGCAGAAAATTTATAAAAATGAAAGAGTTGGCTGCTCTTATGCACAAGGAAGGCATTTTTGGTCCGAAAATTATGAGGTTAAGCGGTTTAGCTATTTTAATCATCTTTGAAGATGAAGAGAGTAGGGATTTTACTCTTAAAAATCAGATGGGGCGTTGAACAATTTCTTTGACAAAGTGGAAGTGTGGTCGGAAAACTTTTAGTGCAGCAGTCGACGGGCATGGTTATCATACAAATGGATCCCACCTTTTGTATGGTGTCATTCAACTTTCAGAAACATTGCAGAAAAGTGGGGAGCTGTTATCTCCATTGATTAAGGGACCTTAAATCCCGGATTGTTTGATAGGGCGTTGTTTCAGATTATTACGAATTGTCAAACTCGAGTAGAAGAATCCTTTGAATTGAAAGTAGGGGAATGGATGTTTACAGTTTATGTTTCCGAGTTTGAACCTTGTTTCAGACCAAAATCTGTTTGGGAAGATTCGTCTTTGATGGAAAAGGAAGTTGCATCCCCGTCATCCACAGTGGGGGAACTCGTCGGTGTCTCGCCAGTAACGTATTCCGAGTTGGTGGCATGTGCTGGATTGTCTTCTCAAATGGAGAAAGTTCATGTAGAAAATCGAGTGTTCTTTGATGGAACGTTTGCGGGTGATGGAGCGGGGTGTTCAGGAGCTGAGAAAGTTGGCGTAGTTCCTTGTTCCGAAGAGGTATGGGCTGGTGAAATAGATTCCTCGACATTGCGTAGTGGGTCAGCTGCGCATGGTTATGTTAGTCAGGGGAGTGGCATGCTTATTGCTTTGGAGGAAGTTGATAGGAAGCACGTTGGGTCAGAGGTGGAATTGTGTGATTCACTCGAAACTAACGTGCAGGTGCATGATGTGTCGACCACACTATTTGTTGGCTTGCACGATGAAGGTGGAAAGTGGTTTCAAGGTGTTGAAAAAGTAGGTGCTATTTCTAGATTTGATGAGTTATGGGCAGATGATTTTTATAATTATAATTTCTCGTCATTGTCTAGTGGGCAGCTGTGCGCGATTCAGCTCGTCTAAGGAGCAGAATTCCCAATGCTTTGGAAGTTGTTAATGGGGCGCACGATGGGTCTGAGGTAAAAGTAAGTAATGCTATCGAAGGTATCGTGCATGTACATGATGTGCCGATCTCGTCTATTGATGGCCTTAAGCTCAAGGTTTTTGACGATAACATTAGGTGCTTGGATTTTATTAGAGATGATGATCCTAGGCAGACCCAATCTCTTTCCATTATTAAAAGATTATTGGAGAATCCGAGTGCAGATTTGTTCTCTTTCAATTCTGCGGACGAGGTGTTTTTGCCTAAGTCTCCTGTTAGAGTTAACTCTGTTTACTCAAGTGAAAAAGAGTTGTCCTCTAGGAAAAAAAAGAAAATAAAGAAGCAGAAATTTGGTTCCCTTTCGGATATTCAGGACAAAATACTATCGAAAGCTGAGAAAAAAGAAGAGATCGAGCGTGAAAGAGATTCAATTTGTTGAAATCCGATCTTATCTCCTCTGAATTATATGGTCGATCCCTTTCTGATTCGGATTTGAATAAAAGGTGGGCTGCTGCTTGTGTAAAATCGGGGGAGAAACCCTTGCCAAATTTATAGGATCTTCGCTTTTTATTAATAGGGGGATAAGATTTGTGTGCTGGGAGGAAGATTGATGAAGTCATGGTGATATGTTAGTGTTTTAGCAGGTTTGGTGATCAAGGTTTCTACTGTTGTTTGGATGCTTTAGCATTTCTGGTTGGTCGTTATGGAGCTGTTGGAATTGCAGATTGGAGTTTTGGTCGATCTTTTGTGGCCAGTGTAGCTCCCTTGATTTCCAGGATTTAGTTTGAAGTCCGCAGGCCGTTCTATTATTAAGTTGAATTTGTTGAGTTCCGCTTTGGTGCCTTTCCGAAGGAGGTTATGTGGCTAGTTGTTTTGCTGCTCTTTCTTATGTGTTTTTCTCGGCTGGTTCCTATTACTGTGTATAGTTGTTTTCATAACAGCAGGTTAGTGCTCTCCTGTATCTCAGGAAGTGTTGTATCTCAGGAGCTAGTTTCTGGCTTTCTGTTCTTTCCACCTCATGCTTCACTCTTTTTCCTCCAATAGGTTTAAGGAGGTTTTTTAATGAGGTCCATAAGGTGGTGTACCTTGTATCCTTACCAATACAAAGTACCCATCTTTCAAAAAACATATATTAGATTCCGCCACATAATTTATGTTTGATTGGGTTTTACAACTAATTTTTTAATTGAATTTTGACACTTTAAATTTAATCTTAAATAGCTTGAATAAAAATATTTTCAAAGTTTTATTTTAAAGCTATAGTAAAATATGAATGAATAAAAAATTAAACCTTTTACTTTTTAAAATTATAGTGCGTAATAATCGTGTAAACTGTACATGATGTAAGCATACTCTTGTTAATAACAAATTGGATATCTGGATGACGTTCAATGTCGCATTTTGTGGCCCTTTTTCTTTCAATTATTTCAATTATTAGATTTAAGTACATCAGGATTTAGAAGAGTTTTATATAGTGAGCGGAACATTTTTTTTTAGAAATATAGTACTTTATAAGTAATAGTGACATATGTACAAGTGTTAAAAGCCATTAATCTAATACGTTTCCATTTTTTGTGCTCGATCGAAGTCCAATTAATTCTACCAAAGACAATCAGGACAAAGAGGAACTGTGTTTTGGTTTGGCATACGAAAACAATTTATCCTTTTTTGTATAAAATATTAAGTATCATTATATTCTATCAGTTGTAGTTGAGTTTTATGATTTGTTTGCGATTAAAATAGCAAGATGTGTTTTTTCATGAACATTTTGTCAATTGTTCATTGGCCAAGCTTTATATATGGTAGGAAATTCGTGTCCAAAATTAAAATAATATTAGTTTATATAATTTTTTTAATTAATTTAACATCTTATAAAAAACTAAATTTTCGATTTTATCACCTATATTCTAATCCAGATAGAATAAACGGAGTAAAGCCATTGGCTGAATGTTAATTTCAGCACCTCCTTCAATAATATTAATTTGATTATAATATGGTACTATAATGTATTTATTAAATTGAATAAGGGCATTTTAGAGATTTTCTGGTATATCTCCAAATTCAATGGAGTCATTAAAGTGGCAAAATCAAATATTAACTTGGACACATTGCCACATAATACAAGATCAAAGTCTCAAACACAATACATCGTATAGTTTGTCCTAGGGAAAGTGGAGAGCTTGAAATAGAAGCAAAGCTAGCTAGTACCGGCATTACCATTGTCCAAGAATGGGTATGAACTCTTTTTATCCAATGATGAGGATGCGGATGAGAATGAATGCACAGAAGCGTCAAATCCCTCTGCGCCCCCGTCAAATGCAGCCGGTGGCATCAAATTTTCTGGTAAGTCAACCTCTCCATCAAGATACCTTACTAACTGCCTCATGCTTGGTCCTGTCGCAGGCACGTCATTTGAACAAATTAGGCCTAACTTAAGCACCATCAACATCTCACCTTCATCATATTGGCCATTGAGCCTAGTGTCTACCACATCAAGGACCCTCCCTTGCCTAAACTTCTCCCATACCCAATCAACCAACACTAATTCCTCGGACAATGCGTTGAGATCAATAGGCCTGCGCCCACAAGCAACCTCGAGCAAGAGTGTACCAAAAGCATAGACATCGGAGCTTGTTGTGGCCTTTCCAGTCTTGGGAAGCTCCGGTGCTATATATCCCATTGTCCCTACAATTTGACTTGTCCCTGGATTTGAACCATGTTCATACAATCTTGCAAGGCCGAAATCTCCTAACCATGCATTCAGCTCATCATCTAATAATACATTACTGGCCTTAACATCCCTATGAATCGCAATTTGTTCATATCCTTCGTATAAATAGAGATGACCAGAAGCCACACCCTTTATGATCCTAAATCTCTGGTCCCAATTCAAGGTAGTTTTAGGGTCATCAAACAAAAACTTATCTAAACTGCCATTAGCCATGAAATCGTAAACAAGAAGAAGGTCGAGTCTTCTCCAGCACCATCCCAATAGCTGAACCAAATTCCGATGTCGAAGCCTTCCGATACTAGAAATTTCCGAAACAAATTCACGTAAACCTTGCTTTGAATCATGGGAAACTCGCTTGACAGCAACTTGAGTGTTTGAATTTCCAAGTGTTCCTTTGTAAACTCTACCGAAACCACCCCGTCCAAGTAAAGTTTTGTCGCTAAAATTGTTGGTTGCTTGCTTGAGTTCTCGGTAAGAGTATCTTTGTGGGCCAATCTCCAGCACCCAATCTTCAACTACTTCTGCATTCTTGATTTTGATAATGACATAAATTGCAATGGAAAGAGCAATTATGACAACAGCAGATGAAACCGATACACCAACTGTTAACGTTCTATCTTTATTTGGTGGTCCGGGGAGTGAAGGCAAAGACGATAAATCAAGAGCCTGAGCTTGTCCATTGATCTTAAAGTTCCACCCTAAAATATAATGAGAGCTAGAAAGCACATGGCCTGTTGAAGCTGAGAAACCAACGTACATAAACTCGTGGACTGGATTCAAGTGAATCTTCAGCGCCCAGATTATTTTCCTCTGAACTCAGATGATTGGGATGTGCTATTTGGGTCCATTCTGTGGAGCATTTGGACGAGACGAAACCATTCTATTTTTGCACCGGAATCTTTAGAGATGGAGAGTATCTTGCAGCGTAGTCGTCGCTTAGTAGTGGAGGCTGGTCTTGCTCGGGACTTACTCTTAACGTTGGTAAATGGTCCAAATAGGATGGACTGAGCAGTTTGTTGGAGTCCTCCGCCACCAGGTTGATTTAAGAAAAATGCAGATGGTGCTTAGAGACCTATTTCATGTCTAACAACTTGTGGTGGAGTTATTTGTGATGCTACTAGGGAATGGATTGGTGGTTTCACGAAAGCCATAGGAGTGTGTTCGGTGTTGGATGCATAACTTTGGGAGTTCTGGAAGGCCTCAAAGTAGCTTGGGATTTGGGGTTAAGACTTGTAGTTCTTGAGACAGATAGCAAGGATGCATGGATGATACTGCAGCAAGGTACAAATATGAAGTTGGTTTCTACTTTGATTCCACATATCGTGGATTTTATTAGACGTGATTGGCAGGTGAAGTTTACTTATGTGCTTCGGGAAGGTAATGGAACCTACCTTTTGGCCCTCGACTCTTTCGTTCTCCTCCAGATGGGATTTTATCGCTTTACCATGCTGAAGCAGTCACTGCTGTAGGCATGGATGGAACAATAGTTTAGGCGTTCCTAGGCTTTCTTTCTTTTCTAATTTTCATTAAAAAAAATTCTGATTCGTAGAATTGATTCTTCCGAGATAGAGAATACACTTGCAATGGATTCAACCCTTTTGGTTCCTACCTATTACATGTTCAAGTAAATTACGACTCGCATCGTCCTCCTCTGGTGCACTTACAATTATAGAGTTTGAAGGTTAATTGTAGATTATAATAATAATTGGACGTCGGGGGTGAGGATGCAAATGAGATTTGAGCAAAGTAAATTACAAGAAAATAGCAACAACGGCGGTCGTGGAAACTTGCCAGTGTAATGAAGTCCTTGATTCCGGTTGTAGCCATGACTTCAGTTGCACCTGCTGCCACAAGGACTAGGGCGAATGGAGTCGGAATCAAGAATACTTGTATTTGATGAAGCCTGCAAGAGTTTATGTAAAACGAAATTTAGTTTATCGGGAAAGAATTCATACGGTACAAAAATTTGATCTTGCTCAGGTTAGAATCATCCCAACAGGAGGCGAATCAAAGAAAAGCATTGGAGCTTTGAAGATGACATGGGCGAGGCCAGAGACGAAGGCACCAAGTGTCACGAAAGCAGTGTAAACTACTATCAACATGCTGTTGGTGCCAACGATTTTGGTGTTTTACTTGGAAGAAACATTGGCAAAGATAAGGATGATAATGCTCCAAACATCATAAAACTATTTCACCCTCTTTCTTTTGTGGTGCAATCCAACTTACCTTGCAATAAATGAATTATCCTGAACAAGCCATTTTGGTCATCTACAAGCTTTTCTGGAACCTTGCAAATGTATCGTACCTTGTTTCCCTTCATCACGATTCAGTGATAAGACACACAATCGACCATTTAACCATACATGTAATAATCCAATTGCAACCCCCGAATAGCCACGAAAGGCTTGTTAGAAACATAGAGCTCTTTTGTTTGTGAAGGCAGATCAAATAGCTCTTCCAGGGCTCTGAGTAGTGCCTTTCGAAGATCCGCATTTTCAACCTCTGCCACCTAAAATAGTAAGCCACATTAGAATGAAATCTTCAAAGAGATATTACCAAAAATAATCAAATCAAGCTGATGTACTTTCTTAGCTCGTTCAGTCTTCCTCAGCTTCTCCATTTTTATTTTTTTTAAAGGGAGTCTTTAATGCTTTGTCCTCATCTTCAGTCGGTGAGTCTTTAATAAAATCAAATAGTAACTAATCCTTCTTCCCCGGTCGGCCCATCATAAATTGAAAAACTTGTGTATCCTTTTTGGTTGTGGCTCGGCCTCGGTCTCTTCATAAACATTATGTCTTTCCTTTATAAGGGGACCTTCAGCTATTGCTCCATCTGCGGCGGAATCTTCATTGATATCTTCCAAATCTTTCTGATAAACTATTCGAAGCCCACATTTCTTCACCTTAACACTTATGTGACTATCATCGGATGTGACTGAAAACTGGAGTTCATCGAATTCCTGATTTGAGCAATCCAATGTTGATGAATTCTCAGTTTCACTTTCACCACATTTATCCTCTAAGGAAAATGGATATAATCTGTCACGGAACAAAAAACAACGATAAAGGTGGTCCTTTATTATGGGCTGGTTATATTCTTTAGAAAATATCCAGCCGTCCCCTGAGACACGTCGAGGATTTCTACCCCGAAAACTAGATCTACCAGAATCAGCTTGTCCAGAATTCCTATGCTGGATAACAGCATCACATTTGAGTTCCTCATCCCTTGAAGCATCATCATTGACAAAAATGCAGCAGAAAGAAACTCCGATCCATTGACTATCATTCTGAATATTGTTAGGCAGTGGTATCTTGATTGAATAGCCAACTGTTTGATGGCTGAACCATTTTGGTATTTCACCTCCAGGTATAACACCATCAAAACTTTCTTTTAAATATGCAACTACCTGCAAAATAAAACTTATGTTGCTTGGTAACTAAGAATATAATTCTTTAAAAACGAGATTATGTAAATATGAAAGAATGATAAATCGACCTTAAGATGGAATTTCAGCATATTTAATGCATCGATATTCTCAACCAATCTATAGCAGTGAAGACCATTAAACCGTGTCCCATCCACTGCATTGCAAAACATTGATGGAGTTGCAAATAGTTCTAGATAAGCACCAGAACTAGGAAACGATTTAAGCTCCCTGCAATTTGACAATCCAAGATATTGAAGCCTGGGAAATCTAATACCAGACACAGGTAAGCTGATGAAATTGTTACCACCAAGCTCAAGCTTTTCCAAATATGATAAACAATAAATATCACTTGGAATATCTCCATCACGAAGATTGCAGTTCCTTAGTTTCAGCTCTCTTAATGAAATCAAACCTGACAATGAATGTAACATAAGAGGTACAGACACGATCCGTCCTCTTTGGAATACCTGGAAAAGAGAAGGTAGATTTGGTGCTAACTTAGATGATGGTGTCTTGAACCTATTCAAAGACAAAACTTTAAGATTTTTAAGTTGAAAAATGAAAGATGGCGGTTTTGCTATGGCTGTTTCACTTAAGTCAAGCTCTTCCAACAACTCTACTTGCTGCAAATTCTCCGGCAAATTTTCAACTTTATAGCAACCTGAAAGATCAAGAGTTTTTAGACATTTACACCCACCTATACTGCTTGGGAGACTAATAAGGTTTCTACAATCTTTTAGGATTAATGTTTCAAGAGATTCTATTCCGATTTTGGTTGGAAGATTCCTAAGACTTGTGCAGCTTCTTAAATTCAAAAGTTTAAGCCTCGAAAGAACTCCGACTGATGGATGAACATGTACTATTCTTGTACAACCCTCCAACACTAAAGTTTCCAGATTTGGGGCTGATGTAAAGTCCGGTGTCTTGACCAGGTTTTCGGACCCTTCGAGGTTGAGCACTTTCAACTTATACAGGGGCTGCTGAAAATAACAATAAATTAGAGAAGATTTAGTTAATATTCCTAAAATAAGTTAAAAAACAATGATCATATAAATTAGTTCTTACTATATTTCCCCTCCATAGTTGTTTAATGCGACTGTAAGGTAGCAGAAGTGCACCCAGGTTGTCTGGTTGGAAGCTTGGAGGTAAGAATCTTAAAGGATATCCCATCCAATCTAAGAGCCGTAACTCATTAGGAAGATATTTGAGTTCATCACAATTTGAGAGGCAAAGGACTTTGAGCAATCTCAAATTTTTCATCTTCGAGATAGCATTAACATTCAAATTGAGCATCTTGTTGGATATCCTGATAACCAAGGGTAAAACAACGAAAACTAAGTTCAAATTTGAAAATATCCCAAAGCATTCCATACCTAAAAGCAAGGCTGCTCCAACACTTAATTTATTTATGTTTCTATTCGTATCCCACACATCCCAATAGAAACATAGAGATGATTCTTTAAGGATTTTCAAAATAATTTAGAAAAACTAAAAGTACAGTGAGTAAAATAAGAAAGAGAGTATAACTCAACGAGGAGTGATAGAATAAAACTTTAAGGGTCACTTTTGACCGAATATGAAATTTACACATGGGTGCATGTTTATGTATGTTTTCCTACCTTTTATTGTCAATGATCATGCCTTCAATCGCTTCTGTAGCCTAAAAAACATTCAAAAGTAAGACATAAGAAACACAAAATAAAATGAGGCAATTTCTGTGATAAAACTTGTGAAAAATTACATTGTGTGTATCATTTCTGTCTTTAACATTAATATAATATGCAATTTCCCTAGAATGACTTACAGTGTTTTTCGTTAGCACATGATATACATCCTTTTCGTCCCATAATCTACAACGTTTTCCAGGTTCCTCAATAGATTTTTCCCGAACAATTCTTCTTCCCATTTCTTGTAGTAAGTTATGCATCCACATTTTGTTGCTTTCGTCAACTGTTAGTAGAGACTTCTTAATGAGAACATCGATTCCGATATCCGGGAAAAACTCACAGCCATCCAATACTTTCATTACAAAATCTTTCTCGTCCCCATTGAAGAAGCATGCTATATCTAGAAATATGTTCTTCTCCGTTTCTTCCAATCCATCAAAGCTAATTCGAAGTCTGTCAATAATCTCTTTGTTAGAATCCTTTTCAAGTCTTTGGATTGCACTTCTCCATTGAGCTACATCTGTACCGCACAAAAAAGAACCCAAGACTTCAAGAGCTAAGGGGAGACCACTGGCATATTTTGCAACATGTTCAGAAAGCTCAATGAAAACATCATTTGGTGCTGTCTCACTATCAAAAGCTTTCAAACTGAAAAGTTGAAGTGCCTCGCTGTCATTCAATGTTGAAGGCTTGTACACATCATCAACTCGGTAAGATTGGAGCAAGTGTTCATCTCTTGTTGTTATAATGATTCTACTCCCTAAACCGAACCAATCATGCCTTCCAACCAAGCATTTCAAGTGTTGTATATTATCCACATCATCAATAACAACTAGGACCTTTTTGTTAGACAACCTATGGCTAATTATGGCATTCCCTTCATGAACATTGAAAAATTCGAAGACTTCACCAGACAAGATCTGGAAAAGAAGTTGTTTCTGTAGAGAAACGAGTCCAAATTTGTCTGAAACTTCTCGAACGTCAGCAATGAAGCATTTACCTTCAAAATGAGATGACATTTGGTCGTATACAACTCTTGCTAGAGTTGTTTTACCGATGCCACCCATTCCGTAAATTCCTATGATGCGGATGTCATCTTCCCCAATCTCTATTTTGGAATGCAACTCCTCCAAGCGTGAACTAATTCCAACCAACTCATCATGAACAATTGGATATGTCTGACATAATTTTTCTGATATTTTTCTAACAATGTTTCCAATAAATTCAGGTTCATGCCTACAAAGATATAAATTTTAGTTGTTTTGAATAAATATTTTAAATCTAGTTGTAATCATTAAATTAATTAAACTAGAAAAAAGATAAGAAAAGAAGGATTTACCCGTTATTCAAATGCCATCCTTTGATGTTAGCCACTTGGGTCAAAGCATTTCGCCACCTTAGAATCTTTTCTTTATCTTCCTTGTACCTGTCTTCATGTTTGGTAAAGGCTCCTCCAACTTTTTCTTTCTGTTTTCTTAAATCAGATGGATTCACATGGTAGAAAATTGGAAACACTTTATGTCCTTTCTCGTTTTTCTGTTTAACAATCTCGGCAAGCTCCTCCAAGCACCAACCTGAGAAGGTATAGGTTTCCGAGAAAACTATTACCGAGCACCACGATTGTTGAATGGCTCTGACGAGTTGCGGTGGGATCTCTTCGCCGGCCTCCAGCTTTGGATCATCCATGAAAGTGACAATTCCACTCCGTTTCAGAGCATCATAGAGATGATATGTGAAGTTTTTGCGGGTATCTTCACCTCTGAAACTCAAGAAAACATCATATTTCTTTCTAGAAATAGATGATGAAGTTGAAGGTAAGGACAACATGATGAAGTTTGAGAAGGAAAATATGTCTGAATATGGTGTTCAAAATCAGAAAATAAATCTCTCAATGCCCAGAAAGAAACTATAAACAATCAAAGTATAGGAGCATAGAAAAAGAGCAAAACAGATCAAATTCCCAAGGAAACAAATCTGGGGTTATAGACCAGAAAATGAAGTATTTGACAAGGCTTTGTTCATAAACAGAAACTAGAGTTCAAAATAAATAGTTCTTGAACTCTGATATTATCCTATTCTATCTCCCGTCAATTGGTCCAACTTGGGGTTGGCTTCTATGGTGGATATTTTTTCTATAACCTAGTTATATCATACTTGCCCTACTTTCCCACCACTTCTACGTTTCACATTTATCAATCCATATATTCAGAGAACATTAAGTTCTTGTATAAACAAATGAACAAATGATAGGGGGAAACTTGTCAAGTAAACATTAATTATGGTGTCCCACATTTGACAATTATTGCTTAACTTATGAGCATCAAATTATAAAACTTCTTTGATAGGTTGCTTCTTATTCTTTTCTTTTATTTTTTGTTTAGACGGAAAAGACATGATTCTTGGTGTTCATCGTCAACCACTCGTATTTTATATATTTTTCTTTGCATCTTTTTTTTTCTTTGATTTATTTTTTGATTTTCAATAATTTTATCACTATGACATGTTTACATTTGTTTTTATGACACTTTTTTCTCTGTCATTTGGCCTTTTATCATTTAATTTTTTTAAGATTGGATTTGATGGTGTCTAGACTGATCAAGATAATACTTATTTGTTATCTTATTAAACTTTCATGCTTTGGACTATCAGATTGGATTTGGATACTCTGTTTGCATTCGACAATATTTTTCTCACGACACTCGACTCTGATTTGTGGTTTTCGATGATATTTCAATAGTTTGATCCCCTATTATGGTTCGTTTTCCAATACAATTAGATTTGTTTGTATCTATCTTATGCTTGAGTTTTTTTAGATGAATTTTAACTTTTTCTTTGTATGGTCCTTATATGATCTCAAGTGACTAATTTTTTGTGTTAATGGTTATAGAGATATGTTCTAATTATATGTTCATTGTAATGCTAGAAAAAACCCATCTCTAATATTCTCGGGGCTCTGAGCGAAACTAAAAAATAGGTCCATATAAAATAAAAGCATGTTCTATTACTTTGAATGATTAATTTAGTATTACATTAATAAATCATAGAAATTTATTAAATTAGGGGTATCAATTATAAAGGTAAAAAGTGAGATTGAAAAAATTAGGGGTCTCAATTATAAAGGTAATTAAAAAAAGTAGGGGCCTCAATTATAAATGTAGAAAGCGAGATTGAAAAATTAGGAGCCTCAATTATAAAAGTAAAAAGTACGATTGAAAAAATTAGGGGTCTTAATTATAAAGGTAAAAGTGAGATTAAGAGAATTAGGGTCTCAATTGTAAAGGTAAAAAGTGAGATTAAAAGAATTAGAGCCTCAATTATAAAGGTAAAAATTAGGGGCATCAATTAAGTGTTTCAATTATTAAAGTAAAAAGTGATATTAAAAAAATTGGGGGCATCAATTATAAAGATCTAAAAAATAAAATTAAGAAAAAAAAATTAAAGACATCAATTATAAAGATAAAAAGTGTGATTGGAAAATTAGATATTATCTTTTTTTTCCTAAGAAAAATAATGGTTTCTATTTTCATTTAAAAAAATCATAAAACTTAGTCGATAAAATTATTAATTGTTTGGTTTAATATCGTTGCATAAGGCAACATTGGATATTATTATTTAGGATAAATTACATGTTTAGTATCTAAATTATTGTTTTTATTCTGTTTTAGTATCTAAACTTTATTTTTTTTAAAATTATATTTAAAACTTAGTTTATGTTTCATTTTGATACCCCACTGTTAAAAACTTAATAGTGATGTTGACATGTCGTCATAAGATAATATCACGTCATCATTGAAAAAATGTTACGTCAATACTTCTGTTAATTTTTCAGCAATAGAGAACCAAATTGAAATCTAAACTAAACATTAGATAACACTTAGTTTATGTTTCATTTTGATACCCCACTTTAAAAACTTAATAGTGATGTTGACATGTCGTCATAAGATAATATCACGTCATCATTGAAATATCGTCGTTGACAAAAATGCAGCAGAAAGCAACTCCGATCCATTGACTATCATTCTGAATATTGTTAGGCAGTGGTATCTTGATTGAAGAGTCAACTGGTTGATGGCTGAACCATTTTGGTATTTCACCTCCAGGTATAACAGCATCAAAACTTTTTTTTAAATATGCAACTCGCTGCAAAATAAAACTTATGTTGCTCGGTAACTAAGAATATAATTTTTTAAAAACGAGATTCTGTGAATACGAAAGAATGATAAATCAACCTTAAGACGGGTTTTCAGCAATGTTAATGCATTGATATTCTCAACCAATCTGTAGCAGTGAAGGTCAGAAAACTGTGTCCAATCCGCTGCATCGGAAACCTTTGATGGAGCTCCAAATAGTTCTCGAGAAGCACCAGGTTTAGGAAACGATTTAAGCTCCCTGCAATTTGACAATCCAAGATATTGAAGCCTGGAAAGATTACCAAGCACAGGTATGCTGATGAAACTGTTGCCGCCAAGCTCAAGTTTTTCCAGAGAGGATAAACAAGAAATATCACTAGGAATATCTCCTTCATGTAAATTGCAGTTCCTTAGTTTCAGCTCTCTTAATGATCTCAAACCTGACAATGAATGTAACATCAGAGGCACAGACTCTATCCTTTGGAATACCTGGAAAAGAGAAGTTAGATTTGGTCCTAACTTAGATGATGGTCCCTTGAGCCTATTCAAAGACAAAACTTTAAGATTTTTAAGTTGAAAAATGAAGGATGGTGGTTTTGCTATGGCTGTTTCACTTAAGTCGAGCTCTTCCAACTACTCTACTTGCTGCAAATTCTCTGGCAAATTTTCAACTTTATAGCAGCCAGAAAGATCGAGAGTTTTTAGACATTTACACCCAACTTGAAAAGGCATAGGTCCCTGAAAAAACAATTACCGAGCACCACGATTGTTGAATGGCTCGGAAGAGTTGTGGTGCGATCTCTTCACCGGCATCCATCTTTGGATCATCCCTGAAATTGATAATTCCACTTCGATTTAGAGCATCATAGAGATGATTTGTGAAGTTTTTGCGGGTATCTTCACCTCTAAAACTCAAGAAAACATCGTATTTCTTTCTAGAAATAAATGATAAAGTTGAAGGTAAGAATGACATGATGAATTATGAGAAGGAAAATTTTGGGGTTATAGATTTGAGATTGATTTGTATTTGAGAAGGCTTTGTTCATCAACAAGAAATAATAGTTCTCAAACTCTGATATTATCCTATTCTATCTGCCGTCAATTGGTCCAAGTTTTCTTTCAAAGTCATGTGTCTACTGGCTATGATTTGCATTTTCCACGCTTTAGTTCAATGCGTATACTCGGGGCTAGCTTCTATGGTTGATAATTTTCCCCCATAACCGAGACATGTCATACTTGCTCTACTTCCCACCACTTTCTACGTTTCACATCAATCAATCTATATATATATTAAGAGAACATTAATTTAATGTATAAGAAAAATGATAGAGGGAGACTTGTCAATTAAACATTAATTATGAAGTCCCTACAATTCGATTTTTCCCTGGATTTGAACCATGTTCATACAATCTTGCAAGGCCGAAATCTCCTAACCGTGCATTCAGCTCATCATCTAATAATACATTACTGGCCTTAACATCTCTATGAACCGCAATTTGTTCATGCCCTTCATGTAAATAGAGAAGACCAGAAGCCACGTCCTTTATGATCCTAAATCTCTGGTCCCAATTCAAGGTAGTTTTAGGGTCATCAAACAAAAACTTATCTAAACTGCCATTAGCCATGAAATCATAAACAAGAAGAAGGTCACCTCTTTGTAATAATAGAACGAATTTACTAACTCTTTTATAACTTTTAAAAGTTAAATGACTGAAATAATCCCCGAACATAGTTTAGAATAAAAAACCATTATCTTACTATAGAAGAAAAAAATTACTTATTTACTAACGATAATCTTTCTAAACTGAGTTATTTGTATCACTCGCCTTCAAAATTTTAATATCCCAATTGCTTACAATACTCCTAACTTTCTGTAATACCCTAATTTTGTCTGAGTGGATATTAATTGATCGAAGAAGAATTTTGAGTGTTCAACGTTTGAATTCGATCTGATTCATACTTGGTGGACAAATTGACGTTCAAATTGCAAATATTAACTCATTTGCATGACCCACCAAACCCAAAACTCAAATTAATGTGCAATCTACAGTCCAAGTTTTAAAATTTAAAGCCCAATCCCAATAACTCCAATCAGGCCCAATTAATTAGGGTCCATTTGTTCATTCAACAAACCCAAAATACTAGGGCTACCAAAGAACCCTTGCAGCCCTGCCGCCGCCTCCCATGGTCATGTAAAGTGGTCCCAAACAGTGGCCTCAGCCGTGGTCACTCCACGCCAGTAAGCCTCCAAGCAAGGTGGTCCCGAATGCTTCATCAACAATGTGCACCGCTGGTCCCCTACACCAGGCACTTCTCCACATCAGTCGGTCCTCCTAACAGACCGCTCATGCAACCCAAGTGGTCCCCCCGAATGCTCATCAGCAGCCACGCATGCAAGCAAACAAACAAAATGAAATTGTAAAAATGTAGCCTTTGGATTTTCGTTTGTAACAGGGGTATTATAAAAACTCACAATAATATTTTGAAAGGGGTTCGGCTCCCCGGGATTAAAAAAAAGGAAAGGAAGCAATATAAGGAAAAATGTTGGTTTCTTACATTTGAGTGCTAATTTTTCTTGGGGTTTTTCGAACCAAACCAGATAGAGTAAAAGAGAGTAGAGTGGTTCGTTTACCTTAGTCGTCGATCGTCCGTCGTCGAGGTGGCGAGGTAGCCGAAGAGTCGGAGGCCTTTGGCCGTCTTAGGGGTTGGTTTGGCTTCTTGGTTCTCTGTTTTGGTGTTTAGACGAGGGAAGGAGGTCGCTTGGTTCTCGAAGCTAGTTCACTTCTTCGGTCTCAAAGATTACTGGTTTAGCTTTTAGGCCATAGCATAACAAGGGGTATTGATTAACCGACCCCGATATCAAAATCTTTATGATACTAGCTATTCAGATTGTTGATTCATATTGCTAGTTTTCAATTTTCATGTGCTGCTGTTGTCATTTCATGTGTCCAAATGCTGACTATGAAGATAAGTTATTATTTGGAACCTGCATGTTCAAACTGATACTGGTGAGGAGATAGGTTAATAAGGTTCTGATGTTTTGGAATTCAATGGATTATGTTCCTGTTTAATAGACATGGAAAGGAAGACTTAACTCGAAATACTGACTCGAAGATGATCCCGTGGTCATATTGACCTCGGGGATAATCTTATGTTTAAACTTATTTAGGATCAAACCTATAGTGTTTAGCCTGTTAATTTCGATTGGCCAGATCTTTTAGGTTTTCCGTTGTTTCTTTTGTTTAGGTTTGCTTTTCAATCCGAGCATGGCTCTTCGCTAACTCGTGGCCTTACTTTGTGTTATATTTGCTGTTCCTTGTTGGCATCATGATGGGGTTGCACTTTAGCTATGTTTTAGAACCATTTATTCGAACTGGCATGCATGCGGCGAGAAAATCATGTTCGTCGTTACTCTGATTCTCATCGTTTTTGTCGGTTTCTTACTCGTTCGGAATTAACTTTTTTTCCAGATAAGAGATGAACTTCACAAGGAGACCATGCAGCTTGCTAGTGAGTTCTTATTCCATTTAGTATTATGATAATGCTATAAAATTCACAGATATTAAAATATGCATAGGGAGACAACTTCACATTTATATGTTTTCAATAAACATGGAACAATTTGGATAAAGAACCACAAATAATGGAGCTAAGGAACCAGGTGAGATTTTCTGAACCACTTGGCGGCAGCTAAGGAAAAACTAAACGAGCTCGAGAGACAGAAAGAAGAAACTCTAAAGTTCTACTCCCCTGCATCGTTATGCATAGGCTTCAAGGTACATATTAATAGTATATTACCTACGTTACTGGGGTTTAGATGCGAGTACTTAAAGACCGTTTTACATCCTTGTAGATGCAATGAATGCAACAGAAGAGGAATCGTAAATAGTGAACAGGCAGCTTCTTTACGGGGAAATAGATATCGTGGCCTTTGTGCAGAAGTACAAGAAGCTACGGACAAGTTACCACTGGCGAGCTCTCATTCTTCTAGCTGCTAAAACATCTCCGGTTGGATGAAGAAAACAACTGGTGATAGTTATTGATTGTATACGTGTATATATATATATATATTGCCTTCATATTGATAAGACTGCTACTTGCTGCTTGGTGAATTTTGGAAACCAGGGTGGATTTTGGAAAATAATCGTCAGTTCTCTGTCTCTAGCGCCTTCTTTGGTTAATTTGTAAGGGTCGGATTGTGACAAATGAAGAACGGATGGGAAGACACATGACAAATGATGAAAGCTGCCTCTACTGTGGTGCAGCAAAGGAATCGTTAACTCATGTTTTTAGAGTGTATTGTGGCGCATACTGCTTGGCAGGAATTAATCAAACCAGACCGGCTTGTTGAATTCTTCGGCATGAACATCGTGGACTGGATTCAAGTGAATCTTCAGCGGCCAGATTATTTTCCTTTGAACTCAGATGATTGGGATGTCCTATTTGGGTCCATTCTGTGGAGCATTTGGACGAGACGAAACCATTCTATTTTTGCTCCGGAATATTTAGAGATGGAGAGTATTTTGCAGCGTAGTCGTCGCTTAGTAGTGGAGGCTGGCCATGACTTCAGTTGCACCTGCTGCCACAAGGACTAGGGCGAATGGTGTCGGAATCAAGAATACTCGTATTTGATGAAGCCTGCAAGAGTTTATATAAAACGAAATTTAGTTTCTCGGGAAAGAACTCATAGGGTACATAAATTTGATCTTGCTCAGGTTAGAATCATCCCAACGGGAGGATAATCAAAGAAAAGCATTGGAGTTTGAAGATGACATTGGCGAGAACAGAGACGAAGGCACCAAGTGTCACGAAAGCAGTGTAAACTATTATCAACATGCTGTTGGTGCCAACGATTTTGGTGTTTTACTTGGAAGAAACATTGGCAAAGATAAGGATGATAATGCTCCAAACATCATAAAACTATTTCACCCTCTTTCTTTTGTGGTGCAATCCAACTTACCTTGCAATAAATGAATTATCCTGAACAAGCCATTTTGGTCATCTACAAGCTTTTCTGGAACCTTGCAAATGTATCGTACCTTGTTTCCCTTCATCACGATGCAGTGATAAGACACACAATCGACCATTTAACCATACATGTAATAATCCAATTGCAACCCCCGAATAGCCACGAAAGGCTTGTTAGAAACATAGAGCTCTTTTGTTTGTGAAGGCAGATCAAATAGCTCTTCCAGGGCTCTGAGTAGTGCCTTTCGAAGATCCGAATTTTCAACCTCTGCCACCTCAAATAGTAAGCCACATTAGAATGAAATCTTCAAAGAGATATTACCAAAGATAATCAAATCAAGCTGATGTACTTTCTTATCTCGTTCAGTCTTCCTCTGCTTCTCCATTTTTCTTTTCTCAGAGGGAGTCTTTAATGAGTTGTCCTCTTCTTCAGCCGGTGAGTCTTTAATAAAATCAAATAGTAACTAATCCTTCTTCCCTGGTCGGCCCATCATAAATTGAAAAACTTGTGTATCCTTTTTGGTTGTGGCTCCGACTCGGTCTCTTCATAAACATTATGTCTTCGCTTTATAAGGGGACCTTCAGCTATTGATCCATCTGCAGCGGAATCTTCATTGATATCTTCCAAATCTTTCTGATAAACTATTCGAAGCCCACATTTCTTCACCTTAACACTTATGTGACTATCATCGGATGTGACTGAAAACTGGAGTTCATCGAATTCATGATTTGAGTAATCCAATGTTGATGAATTCTCAGTTTCACTTTCACCACATTTATCCTCTAAAGAAAATGGATATAATCTTTCACGGAACAAAAAACAACAGTAAAGGTGGTCCTTTATTATGGGCTGGTTATATTCTTTAGAAAAAATCCAGCTGTCCCCTGAGACACGTCGAGGATTTCTACCCCGAAAACCAGATCCATTAGAATCAGCTTGTCCAGAATTCCTATGATGGATAACAGCATCATATGCGAGTTCCTCCTCCCTTGAAGCATCATCATTGACAAAAATGCAGAAGAAAGCAACTCCGATCCATTGACTATCTTTCTGAATACTGTTAGGCAGTGGTATCTTTATTGAAGAGCCAACTGTTTGATGGCTGAACCATTTTGGTATTTCACGTCCAGGTATAACACCATCAAAACTTTTTTTTAAATATGCAACTTGCTGCAAAATAAAACTTATGTTGCTTGGTAACTAAGAATATAATTCTTTAAAAACGAGATTCTGTAAATACAAAAGAATGATAAATCGACCTTAAGATGGTATTTCAGTATTGCTAATGCATTGCTATTCTCAACCAATCTGTAGCAGTGAAGACCATTAAACTGTTCCACTGCATTGCAAAACTTTGATGGAGTTGCAAATAGTTCTCGAGAAGCACCAAGACTAGGAATCGATTTAAGCTCCCTGCAATTTGACATTCCAAGATATTGAAGACTTGGAAATCTAATAACAGACACAGGTAAGCTGATGAAATTGTTACCACCAAGCTCAAGCTTTTCCAAATAGTGTAAACAATAAATATCACTTGGAATATCTCCATCTCGAAGATTGCAGTTCCTTAGTTTCAGCTCTCTTAATGAAATCAAACCTGACAGTGAATGTAACATAAGAGGCACAGACTCGATCCGTCCTCTTTGAAATACCTGGAAAAGAGAAGGTAGATTTGGTGCTAACTTAGATGATGGTGTCTTGAGCCTATTCAAAGACAAAACTTTAAGATTTTTAAGTTGAAAAATGAAGGATGGCGGTTTTGCAATGGCTGTTTCACTTAAGTCAAGCTCCTCCAACAACTCTACATGCTGCAAATTCTCCGACAAATTTTCAACTTTATAGCAACCTGAAAGATCAAGAGTTTTTAGACATTTACACCCACATATGCTGCTTGGGAGACTAATAAGGTTTCTACAATCTTTTAGGATTAATGTTTCAAGAGATTCTATTCCAATTTTGGTTGGAAGATTCCTAAGACTATTGCAGCTTCTTAAATTCAGAAGTTTAAGCCTCGAAAGAACTCCGACTGATGGATGAACATCTACTATTCTTGTACAACCTTCCAATATCAAAATTTCCAGATTTGGGGCTGTTGTAAAGTCCGGTGTCTTGATCAGGTTGTCGGACCCTTTGAGGTTGAGCACTTTCAACTTATACAGGGGCTGCTGAAAATAATAATAAATTAGAGAAGATTTAGTTAATATTCCTAAAATAAGTTAAAAAACAATGATCATATGAATTAGTTCTTACTATATTTCCCCTCCATAGTTGTTCAATGCGACTGTATGGTAGCAGAAGTGCAACAAGGTTGTCTGGTTGGAAGCTTGGAGGTAAGAATCTTAAAGGATATCCCATCCAATCTAAGAGCCGTAACTCATTAGGAAGATATTTGAGTTCATCACAATTTGAGAGGCAAAGGACTTTGAGCAATCTCAATTTTTTCATCTTCGAGACAGCATTAACATTCAAATTGAGCATCTTGTTGGATATCCTGATAACCAAGGGTAAAACAACGAAAATTCAGTTCAAATTTGAAAATATCCCAAAGCATTCCATACCTAAAAGCAAGGCTGCTCCAATACTTAATTTATCTATGCTCTGTCAAGCACTCGTATCCCACACATCAGAATAGAAACATAGAGATGATTCTTCAAGGATTTTCAAAATAAATTAGAAAAATTAAAAGTACAGTGAGTAAAATAAGAAAGAGAGTATAACTCAACGAGGAACTGAGTGATAGAATAAAACTTTAAGGGTCACTTTTGACCGAATATGAAATTTACACATGGGTGCATGTTTATGTATGTTTTGATACCTTTTATCGTCAATGATCATGCCTTCAATCACTTCCGTAGCCTAAAAACATTCAAAAGTAAGACATAAGAAACACAAAATAAAATGAGGCAATTTCTGTGATAAAACTTGTGAAAAATTACATTGTGTGTATCATTTCTGTCTTTAACATTAAATATAATATGCAATTTCCCTGGAATGACTTACAGTGTTCTTCGTTAGCACATGATATACATCCTTTTCCTCCCACAATCTACAACGTTTTCCAGGCTCCTCAATAGATTTTTCCCGAACAAATCTTCTTCCCATTTCTTGGAGTAAGTTATGCATCCACAATTTGTTGTTTTCGTCAACTGTTAGTAGAGACTTCTTAATGAGAACATCGATTCCGATATCCGGGAAAAACTCACAGCCATCCAATACTTTCATTACAAAATCTTTCTCGTCCCCATTGAAGAAGCATGCTATATCTAGAAATATGTTCTTCTCCGTTTCTTCCAATCCATCAAAGCTAATTCGAAGTCTGTCAATAATCTCTTTGTTAGAATCCCTTTCAAGTCTTTGGATTGCACTTCTCCATTGAGCTACATCTCTACCGCACAAAAAAGAACCCAATACTTCAAGAGGTAAGGGGAGACCACTGGCATATTTTGCAACATGTTCAGAAAGCTCAATGAAAACATCATTTGGTGCTGTCTCACTATCAAAAGCTTTCAAACTGAAAAGTTGAAGTGCCTCGCTGTCATTCAATGTTGAAGGCTTGTACACATCATCAACTCGGTAAGATTGGAGCAAGTGTTCATCTCTTGTTGTTATAATGATTCTACTCCCTAAACCAAACCAATCATGCCTTCCAACAAAGCATTTCAAGTGCTGTAAATTATCCACATCATCAATCACAACAAGGACCTTTTTGTTAGATAATCTGTGGCTAATTATGGCATTCCCTTCATGAACATTGAAAAATTCGAAGACTTCACCAGACAAGATCTGGAAAAGAAGTTGCTTCTGTAGAGAAACGAGTCCAAATTTGTCTGAAACTTCTCGAACATCAGCAATGAAGCATTTACCTTCAAAATGAGATGACATTTGGTCGTATACAACTCTTGCGAGAGTTGTTTTACCGATGCCACCCATTCCGCAAATTCCTATGATGCGGATGTCATCTTCGCCAATCTCTATTTTTGAATACAACTCCTCCAAGCGTGAACTGATTCCAACCAACTCATCATGAACAATTGGATATGTCTGACATAATTTTGCTGATATTTTTCTAACAATATCTCCGATAAACTCTGATTCATGCCTACAAAGAAATAAAATTCAGTTCATTTTTATAATTATTAAAGTAATTAAACAAGAAAACAGGAAAGAAAAGAATGGATTACCTGTTATTTAAATGCCATCCTTTGATGTTAGCCACTTGAGTCAAAGCATTTCGCCACCTTAGAATCTTTTCTTTATCTTCCTTGTATCTCTCTGCGTGTTTGGCAAATGCTTCTTCAACTTTTTCTTTCTGTTTTCTTAAATCAGATGGATTCACGTCGTAGAAAATTGGAAACACTTTATGTCCTTTCTCGTTTTTTTGTTTAACAATCTCAGCAAGCTCCTCCAAGCACCAACTTGAAAAGGCATAGGTTCCTGAAAAAACAATTACCGAGCACCACGATTGTTGAATGGCTCGGAAGAGTTGTGGTGCGATCTCTTCACCGGCATCCATCTTTGAATCATCCCTGAAAGTGATAATTCCACTTCGATTTAGAGCATCATAGAGATGATCTCTGAAGTTTTTTCGGGTATCTTCACCTCTAAAACTCAAGAAAACATCGTGTTTCTTTCTAGAAATACATGATAAAGTTGAAGGTAAGAATGACATGATGAATTATGAGAAGGAAAATTTTGGTGTTATAGATTTGAGATTGATTTGTATTTGAGAAGGTTTTGTTCATCAACAAGAAATAATAGTTTCTCAAACTCTGATATTTATTCATTTATAACAAAACAAATGGGCTAACACTAATATGAACCTAACATGGATTTTTATTTATAAACCATACAATATGCAATATGACACTAATTATTTAACACCTAATGTAACATGAATTAATATGCAATGCATCATGAATTAATAACATGCAATGCCAAATGAATTAATAACATATTATTATTTAATACACTATAATACCTAATATATGCAACTATATAATATGCAAACTACATTATGCAAAAATGACACTATATGATATATTATATGTACTATGCCCACATTATTTATTATATACTATAATATGAAATGCCACGTGCGTGTCACCACTCGGATAAAATGGGTGATGACATTCACTGAAGAAGAAATTAAAGCAGGTGACGAATCCCAGAAGCTTTAATGGGGCAGTCAATGCTTTGAGAAGAGAAATTGGGGGCAGTGTTAACGTTCTTTTACCCTTTCACAAATAGACCAAAGCTCTTTTGCACTCACAATGTGGTAGAACTTACGCTTTAAGGATAAAAGTAGTCATGGAAAGAAGATGTCAGTGCTTAAAACATATGGGAATTCCTTGTCAGTAGTCTATCAACCATGAAGATTGAGAAGTTGTCACAAGAAATTATCATTTGTCATATATGCATATCAAACTTCAATATGTACCCTGATGAGGTGCAACGCCATTTCCACTTGGGTATTGGAGTAAAAGTAGACTTACTCATCGCAGTCGAGATTTCATTACTTCAAGTTTTGACAAAAATAAATCTAAGACAAAGCTAGAGCACGATGTGATCAGTTGAACTCCGTTGAAAAAGAGGTTAAAAGCTATCTGCCATGTACAGAGGTTTCAGAAGCAAACGACGTGAGCTCAATTCATAAAGATTTTCGTGAGAAATGGATGCCCAATTGGGAAACGACCATACATTATCAAAGAGGTTGTTTCCAGAGGAGTTTTGATTGAGTGATCCAATAAATTTCATATTCATGTTGAAAAAAGAAAAAAGACAAAAGAAAAAAGACAAAAGACAAAAGAGAAAAGAGAAAAAAGAGAAAAAAGAAAAAAAGAAAAAAAAGAAAAAAGAAAAAAAGAAAAAAAAGAAAAAAGAAAAGAAAGAAAAAGAAAGAAAAATGAAGGAAAAGAAATTAAAAAGAGGGTTCAAAAGGAGAATCCGCAAAGGTCGTCTTGAAACCAAAGTAAGGATTTGAGTTGAAAATTTGAAATGGCGGTTCAAATGTGTTTTGATATTAGGCATCTGGAAAATAAAACCTTTCAAGTGTCTGGTACTTTGGGATGTGTGTCGTGCCTGCAAATATTTTGGCAATTTTTTATGTCCTTTAGACATAAGCTCACCTCTATGCTCTGGGGTTGTATTAAGTTGATTGACTTTGAAGAGCCTGATATTTTGAGAGGAAATTTACATCTACAAACATTTTGGCAACATTTGAGAACTTCTAATCAGAAGCTTACCTCATTGCTCCAAATTATATCAAGTTGATTGATTCAGGAACATTCATGCTAGTGATGCTTGAGGCATCTGACTTTATTTCTTGATTTTTTATCCTTTCCATGATTGCCATGACTTTGTAAAAATTCTAATTCTCTCATTTCAAACCCCAATTTTGTTCATTTACAAGCATCTTATAAGTAGATTAACATAGTTCAAAATAAAACAAAAGTTTTCTTGGTATTACTTTGAACTAATCTTTTAAATTGCAGGAATCCAAAGTAGCTCAAAACCTTGACACTCGTGTAAAAGTGTATATCGAGAAAAGATATATGGGCTGAATTCATGAGGATAGTTATTCAATCCCCATCAAAGACATTTTTTAAGACATTTTGATATTTGTTAAATAAACAAGATGATTGCTCAAGAATGATAAGAGATCCTTGAAACTAGTGAGGCTTATTCTGCCTCAAATGAAATGCAAGGGCAGTGGAGGCATTCTTTGATCCTTAAAACCATAAAGTCTGACAGATCAGAAGACTCAATAATGGAACTTTTCATACTTCTTTGCGATATCATCAATAACCAACCAAGAAGCAGAAGATCGCCTTAGTAAAATGGGGTATGTATTGTTTCAAGATCTTATGGTACCCACATTGGGGTATGACCAAAGACCCAAATCATGTTGGAATAACAAGATTCAAGGCAATATTGTATTGAGAATAAACATTGCTGCTAGGAGTATTAGGGGAAGAATATAAAGATGAGAAGAACTTACTTTGAAAAGAAAACCCTTCATGCGATAGAAAAATCTTGAAGAAGCACCTCTGATAAAACAATTGGGTCAGAGTCAAGAGGTGTCGGCCGAAATTCAATCTTAAAATACATTAACACTTTTGAATCGAATATATAATTTTGAATCGAATGAAATTCCTATCATGAAAAATAACAGTGTGAAACAGAATCACATCAATAAAAATGGATCACAACTGCAATTTAATAGATAGATGCCAATTACGATAATAACTTTTGTTAGGTCTGTAACCGTAATAAACACAACACGACCGAATACGTGACTGCAACTGTAAATTAAATCCATACATCTGTGTTAAGTCATAAATAATCTTATTGGCAATAAGTTTAGATTAGATAGTAGGAACAAAGCAACAAAATCTAACAAAAAATCGTATTACAATAACATCTTTCCTATGTTCAGGATTTGTGGCTATCCCTTCCAATGATATTTGTTTGAGATTCGAATTTGAATTCTATCTCTGACTCTCTGAGAGTGTAATGTACAATATCGGTTCACATTCCACTTGTTGTTAGGAACATGTTGTGTAATAGTATTAGGCGTGCATTGATCAACCCCATGTGATAGGGATTCGCCTCACAAAGGCCTTTTGTAGTTGTCGATAAAGCATGCCATTTCACTTTTTGAAACGTGGTGCAGCCTTGCATGGGCCCCTATTGTTTTTGTGTTAAGAAGAGAGCGATCATGTCATTATCCAAAATCGGGTGAATATGAATGACATTTTGGCATGCATGGTAGTTAAGTTGTTTATTTGTGTTCTCTCATATTTTCTTTGGTCATGGTTCTAGACTTACATTGTTTGAGAAGCCATGCATGGTCCCCATTGTTTGAGTACATTCGACCAGGTAGTTAAGCTGTTCATCTTTTTTTCTTTTATATTTTCTTAAATTATGAGTTCTAGATTCACTAGGAGTACTCTCCTTTCATCTCCTAAAGTCTCTCATTCCCCTCCCCTCTAAGTAAGATTAAGATTAGATTTAGAATTTATCCAAAAAAATAAATAAAAAAAATGAAATATTGCATGCCATTCGAGTGAGTATGAAATTAAAGTTTATTCATATGTAGGAGTGGATCCAAAGGGAGCAAGCAGGTATGGATCGAAAGATTGGGTGGGACAATAGCCCTTTAAAAATTTTAAATTCTCATATATTTTATATATTTTCTTTGTATTTTATATTGATTTTTTAAGAAGAGAAGGATTAAAAAATTTATCAGATGTCCCCGAAAGTTGTTAAACGTCTTGAACAACTCTGCTCTAGGTTTCTTTGGAAAGGTTCTAATATAGCAGCTTCAGGTGCAAGGATCAGTTGGGACAAAATATGTTGTCCCAAATCTGAAGGTGGACTAGGGTTAAAAGATATTAGTTCTTGGAACAAAACTTGCATGGTTCATCTTATCCGGAAACTACTTGCTGCTAGCATGGATTCATTGTTATGTTACTAAAAGTAGAAGCTTCACTGATATTAATGAATGTTCATCTTATAGTTGGTGTTTTAGGAAACTTATCAGACTAAGGAGTGAAACTCTTCCCCTACTTAATTCTGGTATATTGAAGACAAGAGATTTATGGGAGGAACTGAGAGTTCACAAAACTAAGGTTACTTGGCACATAATAATCTGGTTTCCTCTCCATATTCCTAAACTCAGTATTATCTCATGGATGGCCATTCTTGACAGACTTCCAACACGGGACAGACTTACTAGAATGGGGATTGCTTCTGATGAGTTATGTATCTTATGTAATGAGTCTCCTGAAACCAGAAACCATCTGTTTGTGCACTGCACATATGCTACTTCACTGTGGAATTCTATCTTGAGTCTTTCTTCTTTGAGTAACATGCACAACACTTGGGAATCAAGGATTAATTGGGCTGCACTGGAATGGAAAGGAAAATCCCTTCTTATCACCATATTGAAAATAGCATGGACTGCTTTTATCTATTCGATATGGGAAGAAAGGAACAGAAGAATATTCAGAGGAGAGTCAAGATCGATTGATCAAGTTCTAAAGTATATAAAAGACTTTGTCCAAATAAAACTTAGTGATAGGAATCTTAATAGAATTGATAGAGTTAATATTAATCTTTGTAATTATTGGGGTATAGATTAACATTTTTGTTGTAATTAGCGTTTATACTCCCATTTGAGACTTGTGTTGTTGCTTTCTTATTTGGATAACAAAATCTGCTTATCCAAAAAAAAGAAAAAAAATGTTTTCAACCTTAAAAATTTGAGTTTGCCCTTCTATTTTTTTTTATAAATTCATCCAACGTAATACACCAGTCCTCTAAGATCAAGTAGGCGTTGACACAAATGATAGTAAAACTAATCACTTCATTTTTATTTTTTATTTTTATATTTGTTTTATTATTCATATTTAGTTAATGATATAGACCACGTGGAAGCCCTACTACCCTTGCTTTTCTTTATTTTCCTTTTCCCTCTTCAATTCTTCAATGGACTATGGTTGGTAAAATTCCAGCAATGGATGAACTTCACCAGTAAGTTCTATCTTTCT